GATTTTCGACAAGACATCGTGAATCCAAATTTGGATGTGGATCTCAAGGCCACGACGAAATTGAGACCGTACCAGGAAAGAAGTTTAAGCAAAATGTTTGGCAATGGTCGTGCGAAGAGTGGCATAATCGTGCTTCCATGTGGGGCGGGTAAAACGTTGGTCGGTGTCACCGCGGCGTGTACGATCAAGAAGAGCTGTTTGGTATTATGCACATCAAGGTCAGTGAGGGATCGTGGCAATTTCATATACTGTACGGGACTTCCGTGACTAAATTATACGGTCCTTAGCGTATCCGTTGAACAATGGGCTAAGGAATTCCGCAGCTGGTCAACCGTCAGAGAGGGACAAATAGCCAAGTTTACGTCTCAAGAGAAAGAAAAGGTAGGTCCACGGGAAGACCCGGATGTATGGTAAACTTACATAGTGTTTGAGCCAGTTTGTTGGTGACGCCGGCATTTTGATCAGCACGTACACCATGGTGACTTACTCGGGAAAGCGAGCGTATGATGCCCAACAGATGATGGATTTCATTAGATCGCGTGAATGGGGATTTCTCCTGCTGGACGAAGTCCACGTTGTCCCAGCGGATATGTTCCGTAAGGTCCTTACAATTGTGGCTGCACACGCCAAGCTTGGTTTAACTGCCACGCTGGTACGTGAGGACGACAAGATTGGAAATCTGAACTATCTGATTGGTCCCAAATTGTATGAAGCAAACTGGTTGGATCTTTCCCGAAAAGGGCACATCGCCAATGTGCAGGTATATTTTTTCTAAAAAGCACTTGAATGCTGCTTAGTGCTAACCACATTGGCTTCACAGTGCGCGGAAGTTTGGTGCAACATGACACCTGAATTCTATCGAGAGTACTTGCGAGAAAAATCACGGTATGGTGTTGGCAAGTGTGTTCATCGTTGTCTGGTGGTCATTTATGACAGTATTATCACAGGAGAAGACAATTGCTATATGCTATGAATCCACGAAAGCTCCAGGCGTGCCAGTATCTGATTGACTTTCACGAGAGCCGCGGCGATAAGATCATTGTCTTTTCAGACAATGTATTTGCATTGAAAGTAAGACATGTGTAGTTGTATTGAGGTGCGTAGAATCTTACCCTCCTGTAATGTACACAGCACTATGCGACGAAGCTCAACAAGCCCTATATATACGGCGGTACCAGTCCCGCTGAGCGAATGCGAGTTTTACACCAGTTTCAGCATAATCCGGCCATAAACACGATCTTCCTCAGCAAAGTTGGTGATACATCGATTGACCTTCCAGAGGCAACTTGCCTGATTCAGGTGTCGAGCCACTACGGAAGTCGCAGGCAGGAAGCACAGCGACTAGGTGAGTTTCTTAGTTTGTGGGTAACTTTGTAGTAATCTTATTTGCCTTCCGCGGATTATGTAGGTCGTATTTTGCGAGCAAAACAGCGAACAGATGATGGAATAAATGCATACTTTTACTCGCTTGTATCAAGGGACACCGAAGAGGTGTACTACTCCGCAAAGCGACAACGCTTTCTGATTGATCAGGGATATCAGTTTAAGGTGCCCATACACCCGACGCTTCGATATGCTTCTACAGAGAACCTTATCGAACTGTTGGTCTCTGTAGGTCATTAACAAGCTGGAGGGATTGGAAAACATTTCTGACCTGGTATACGCTACACGTGCCGAGCAATTGGAGTTGCTCAACACAGTACTAGTATCGACTGAGGTCGATGAGGACGATAGCGATATTCTACCACCAGATGATATCCGCTCTTTGCGGGCGCGACTTGAACCCGTTGTAGTGCGTCGCAGCGGTACGCTGCAATCCCTCTCTGGTGGAGATTCGATGGCCTATATAGAGTACAGTAAAACATCAACAAGCGGAATAACAAAGGAAAAGAGAAGCCTCTTTTATAAAAATTGGAAGTCATCTAGGTAGGTGATAGGCTGTAGATAGCAAGCGGAGCAAACACAGTTCAAGATTATGTAATAGCCGTGGCGTGGAGCGGCGAGGTTCTAAATGATGATACATTAGTTATACAATCGTTATAATTGTGTATTACCCCTGTGGCCAGTTTACGTTTGGGACCTCCTCCGCGTTGAGGCCTGCCGTTGCTCTTCCTGTCGTTTTGACTGACGCGTCCATTCAGTGCCGTTGCAGCAGAAACATGACGACAGCCGTGGAGAATCCGCTGTACAGGACTGGTTTTGGGTTGCTCGTCGCAGGTTGTGCGGTCGCAAGCTATTATTTCCGGGACGCAAACGAGGGAGACGACCAGGGCGATAGGAATGCAGAGTCCCGCACTACGGAGCTGGACGACGGACTCGGGGATATTCCCTCACCTATTAGTAGCTCGAAAGAAGCTGCATTATTTGATAAATTCAAACGAAATTGGCTACTTGTCTACAGCTTTGTCATGAGTACGTATCTGCGGAGACTGATATGGTTGCTTGCACGACTATCCACCAAAAGATCGTCCTCCTCCCAACTAACCATGATTGGAACTTAGTGGCGGACTGGCTACAGGGACCTGCAACCTACCCTTTGTACATATCTTATGGTTATGACCTCAGTGAAATTGCCATCCTGTTTGTGGTTGGGTTTCTTTCATCTGCAGTATTTGGCACTGTAATTGGTTCAGTTGCGGATAAAATGTAAGACCACTTAAATTCTGTTGCAAAGAGCGGCGGAAGAAGATCTAACCAACTACCAGAGGGAGAAAGCTGGTGTGCCTGATGTTTTGCGTTATATATGCAGCATCGTGCCTCACGAAGCTGTCCTCGAACTTTATGACGCTTTTGCTGGGCCGGGTGCTAGGTGGTATCGCAACTTCGTTGCTTTTTTCTGTGTTTGAGGCATGGATGGTTAGTGAGCACCACTCGCGAGGTCCGTATCGCACCACCCAGCCTTAATCATGACGTGCAGCTAAGATCAGAGATCTTTCTCTCGTAGGGTTTAGGGAAGCTCTTCTGTCTGACACATTTTCTTGGTCAACTTTCTTAAACGGACTGGTGGCCATCCTCTCCGGCGTATTGGGCAATTTCTTAAGTGACAAGTGGGGTGTTGTAGCACCCTTCATGGGGTCCATTTTCTTTCTCTGCCTAGCTTTCTTGGTGGTGCAGGCGACATGGAAAGAAAATTACGGCAGTGATAAGCCGGGTGCGAACAGATCTTCAATCAGCGAGGCTGTCAAATCCATCTGGCATGGTACGTTATAGGCTCTGTATGGCCATAAATCGGTATCTGCTCAGAGCGTTCTCGCACAGGTGTGGATATACTCGCTGTTGGTGTCATGCAATGCTTTTTCGAATCGGCAATGTACACCTTTGTGTTCCTCTGGCAGCCAGTTTTAACAGCGAAGGCATCAGGTTTGATCTGTTATTCTGTACCAAACCTTGTGACACTGTCCTAAAATCCTGGCGCTTCAAGGCTACGGAGCGCAGGTTCCGTATGGTATCGTCTTTGCTGCCTTCATGGTGTCGATTATGCTTGGATCAGTAATATTCAAGGTCCTTTTGCGCCATGGATGGAGGCATGAGGACGTTGCATGGGTGACGTTTGCTGTCGCAGCTGTGTCCCTTTTCGTACCAGTAATTGCGTCGGTCAGTTTGGCTGCTCTGTATTATGTTGTTGTACAGGACTGGCTCAAGTTTGACACCCGTGTCGTTCACAGGACGAGTTTACTCTTTTCGTCAGTTTCAATGTCTTTGAGATGTGTTGCGGATTATATTTTCCATCTCTTGGTACTCTCCGGTCAAAGCTAGTACCCGAAGAAACGCGATCAACAATTATGAACGTTTTCCGCGTGCCATTAAATTTGATTGTGGTCGTAGCACTCTCGAATGTCAAAAGTGTGAACACGTCGACACTTTTCGCTATTTGCGCTTTTTTGGTTGGTGTAAGCATGTTTTTCGCCCGGCGTCTGGCGCTGCGGGCCGGTGCCGGGAAAGTTCGTAACGGGCGACCTCCATCTACAGTGGTTTGGGACGGGACCGAGGATAAGAGTGCCGAGATGGAGCGGTTGAATACTGTAAAAACCTAAGCTTGGATGTTACAAATACTCGATGTAAATGACGATTAAAAGAAAACTGCGCTGTACATCTTATTTTGCAATTGGACACCGCAAGCACCACCGCATGGCCTCCCTTGAACTTCATTTTAATCAGATGCAATCTGCCTGCGTCAACTGACTATGCTACATGTAAATATCACTATCTCCATCTTGACCGGGTCTCGCCTGCCGCGTATTCTTCAGCGTGTTCCGTCAAATTTTCAAAATCCGCCCATAACTTTGATGTTATGAAAAAATGGAAGTGCCATGAGCTTTTGCAGGTCGCTAAACATTAGGTGTGATGATAACGTTATAATAGTACCTACCTTCTCCACCAACCCGTCTTCTTCCAGGGCGCGGAACGATAATCTTGAATCTGCGTACCACTCCGACTGCTTCGTGGTCCATTCTTTCACCTTTTCTTGCATAGCGTACTTGAAATGTCGCAACTTATGATATAGTCTAGACCGGGCGAAACAATACCTTCCGACATTGTAGGTGTACGCTGGACTCTTTCGCTTTCTCCTCGTTCTCGCAGCGGAAAGGTCGGGCTCATCAAATTCGGAATTGTCGTTGTTTGGAGAGTCATCCAAGCAGTTCTGCAGTGGCTGTAGAGAGGTGCGATTGGGCCATGTGAAGCTAAAGGGATACACTCTCTTTCACTCACGATACCTGCAAAGTATCCGGGTTGTACGGCCACCCACTTAATAAGATCCTTTTACTTGCAGGACGATTTGATCGCGCGCATGCGTCGCAATCGCCAATTCTTGTAACGCTCCAGCAGCGAAATCGTGGACAAGTGTCGAGCGATCGCCTGAAGTCAGGCTGCCAAACTTCCGAGGAAACGAGGGAGATACGATAACCCGATAGACGATTCTCGAGGGCACGCACATGTGGGAGGTATTGGTCATCTGAGACAGAAATGATCACATCGTAAAGCAAACTTGTCGACCCATTGCCCAGAAAAAGACCATACCCTTTGTTTGGTATACCCTAACTCCAAAGCTGGGGTCCACCACCATCTCTAACAACATTTCTACAAATATTCGAAATGAATCGAATAAGGTTGATGCGACCAGGCGAAAATTAGCTGTTTAGGAACCGTTTTGGGAAGGGCATCAGGGTGGAGTCATTGGTGCACGATAGCATTCTGTAGACGTACAGGGCAAAGTGGCAAGCGCCTCTGCGTCGCTTACTCCTTCATCAACGATGAACCCCTGAAGGTCGTCATCCGAGTAATCGCTGGAAATTTTATCGGGGTGCTTGCCGATATCACTATCACTATTATCATGATAGCTTTTATCTTCGTCACTTCCTTCCGAACTCTGACAGATCCCCCCTTCTGTAAAAGACTCTTCGGGGTTAAGTTCTTCTGCGAGTCGTAACTTTTTTCGCGCTAGAAGCAAAGCATCAGCGAGATGGGATCCTCTAATATAAAGTGTTTAACAATCTAACGGCACACGGTACACACACTTATAGTTTTTAAGGGCCTCCTTAAAATGGTTCACCGGGCGCGGTCTCGACAGAGCTGTAGCATATGCTTCGGTTAGGTCACTTGACGACCCCAATTGCCAATCAACGTACTTACCGTCGTCGCTCAGATACAAATCGTCCTGGTCTATGTCAGCACCTCTCATTCCTTCGGAACTCTCACCATCACTGTTTGGTGTCCGTCTACGCTTGCGCACCGCGGGCGCAGCTGGAGTGGTCGTGGCCATCATGCGAGCATGCGGCAAGTGGGCAACGACATTGCGCATCGACGATATTGTGGCATCAGATTTGTAAGATGCGTGGTGTCCCGATCTTACGGTAGAAGAAGCATTCTTGTCATTCTTGAGATCATTGACTATGCCAGGATCTTCAAGATCAATGACACTACTCGAAGGAAGATCTGAAAGCATATCCATATCTTCATCTTCATCGTCCGGAAAGCAAAACGGTAATCTGGAACGATCATCCAAATTGAAGCGTTTTGTGTGTTCCATCGTTCCAAGAACTTTGGCATACTCGTAAGGGGCAGGGATAGCACGAGTATGGGTTTGTTCCTCATCCTCATCGTCGTCCACCACGATGAATTTTCGCCGATGACGTTGTATCATACTTGGAGGAGTTCTGCGCGGCGTTTGTGCGCAAGGCTGACTGTCCACGACTTGGCCTTCCAGATCCTGCCCTGGAGTACGAGTCCTTGGAGTTATTAAGGACAGATATTCTGGCCCCTGAATGCTGAGGCAGTGTTCCTACCATTTTGACAAACATTCTTTTCATGATCTAGTGATACTGCCGGTGATTTTGCCATCGTTCTTAATCTGCCGAGCGAATATAGTTTGGCTTTTTCTCGCGTTTGCAGGTTGGACGGTATGACAACAGCAGCGAACATGCGTCTTGGCGTTGACGGACTCTAAAGCGGGCATAGTTAACGCATCTCAGACACATGAACGTTGTGCGTTGTCACGCAAAACAAATGCCAAGAACAACAAAGACTTTACCTGCCGTACACTCGCCGCAACTGAATTAACTGATGTTTTCAAACGCTTACCAACAGGATACTGTTCTCTGATTGCAAAGCCTGGGTGATTTCGGGTTTTCATACCGTACTGTAGCCACAGGGAGAGCGGGGGTTCGAAAGCCTGCTTTTGTATCACTCGGAGGGCTAAGCGTCATGCCACGCGCAATGACAACTGCTCTTGACATGCGAGGCAGGACGAGATCTACATTGGGAAGGGGATCTGGATGTCCACAGCGACGCTTGTTGTCGACAATGGCGCTTACACGATAAAGTGTGGATTTGCCGAACGGCCGGAAACGTTGCGGTTAGATTGCCGGATTTTGCACTAGGCACAAAGAGCAAAGATCTAACGAGTTTTAAAAACAAGACTTTCCCGCAATTGTGTCGCCAAGGCGAAAGGCGACAGACGAACGTTCATCGGCGACCAGCTGGGGGACTGTCGCGACTATTCTGGACTTTTTATTCGCGTACCTTTTGAAAAGGTGAGTATACGTGAATGGCCTTCCCGGCAAAACGTTACCATATCAACTCTTGTCCCAAGGGATACTTGACGAACTGGGAGATTCAAAAAACCATTTGGGAGCGCCTCTTTTCAAGTGATGTATTGGATGTGAGTAATGCCCTTTTAAAACAACCCACCACCAACGGACAGAGGGCCAACCCGTTTTCCAGGTCAACGCCAGCGAGACCAATTTGCTGTTAACAGAACCGTGCTTCAATCTGCCAATTATTCAGCGGAACTATGATGAGATCATCTTTGAGGAATTCGGGTTTGCAGCCTATCATAGAACCGCTGGTAATGCGTCGTGTTTGCAGCGTTACATCGAGAGCACCCAGTCAATTGACACTACCCTACCAGCGGCGAACCTTTGCAAATACACCTTGACTACAAATGAAGTTGCGGAATGCATGCTGGTTGTGGATTCTGGCTACTCATTCACCCATATTGTGCCAATATATGCTGGTCGTCCCATTTGGGAGGCAGTGAAACGGTCGGTAGTATACCGTGTGCAACAAAGGAGCACGACGTGCACTCACTAAACTTCGCCGGAATGCTAGAATTGATGTAGGCGGGAAACTCTTGACAAATCAATTAAAGGAGACGATATCCTTCCGGTATGTAGCTTCACTGCCGGCTCAATTCGGATGTCTCGATACTGAGCGGGTGCAGTCAGTGGAATATGATGGATGAGACGTACCTGGTTAACGGTATCAAGGAACTGTGTTGTTATGTGTCGCAACAATTCGAATACGAACTGAAAGTATGCAAGTAAGTTCATAGTGACGATTTAGACCGTGCTGCATCGTTTAATGCGTGAAACAGGAGTGCGGACAGTTCAGTAAAGCTAGAATACGTTCTGCCAGACTTGGCAGCGAATGCTCATGGCTATGTGCGGGTATGTGAGTGGTTTTGATGTTAGTTAGGATGGCCAATATGAGTGACTTCCCATCAATTTTCACCCTGGTACACAGCCTAAAGACGGGCCTCCTGTACGCCCTGACCAGCAGGTACTGGTTATGAACAATGAACGGTTTACAGTTCCTGAAGTTCTCTTCAACCCTTCCGATATTGGTAGGTGTTCGAAGACGAATAAATCTGTACCCAGAGATTCTAAAGCAATACTCTTAGGGATACAACAGGCGGGCCTGGCTGAGGCTATAGTTGAAGCAGTTCAGAATACGGATCCAAGTAGGCGGCATTTCCAGAGATTCAGGTTTCGACGATGATGTTTAACATACTTGCAGATTTGCATGGGTTATTCTTTAACAATGTATTTCTCGCCGGTGGAAACATATGCCTTCCAGGCCTCAAGAATCGACTGTAGGTGCTCTCCCACGGGAATATCATTCTTGTTGATGGTGTCCTCATTATGCTGGCCTTCCGCAGGGAATCGGATTTGCGGAAGCTGGTCCCGGTGGAAGCGGATGTCCGGGTAATTCAAGCTGAAAGGTACATGATGGGCACTTCATCCTTAGGATTTGCAGCGGGCCGCTAATCGATGATTCGGCCAGACCCATCACCGCTGCCTGGGAAGGTGGAGTCAAATGGATACAACAATACCCTAATGATTTCAATCAGAAGTGTGTCACTCGTGCTGACTTTATGGAATATGGGTCTAATTTGTGTGAAGAGCGATTTGCTTGAAAATCGATGTACTTACGGCCACGGCCAACGGCTCTTGCCAAAGGAGAGATAAGAAACGCAAAGACAAATATACAAGATGAAGAATGATATTTCAGGTACAGAAGAAAAACATTGAAAGGAGTTTGGAGTTCACCGCCATCCTTCTTCATAATGTACAAAGTTGGCTATGAGCGGGCCCCCTGCGTGAGCCGTTCGAGTACATGAAGCAGGCCCTTGGAGCTTCTGATCGCGTTATCTTTGAATTTTGTTACCCCAAATCCTTCAATTCTCGATTTGATAGGTGCCCAGCCCGTGTTGGAGATGATGCGGACATCCGTGTGCACTTCGGTCCAGTTTGCATGCTCTGGGTGTTGGCTGTATGTTTGAGTTTCCTCCACTAGCATCAGCTTGGTGTGCGACAGATTCCTTGTTACGGTGATCATGCGACGGGAACGCGGGTCGACGATTGACTGTTCCATGATGAAGGCATCTCGCACATTCAAAAGCTGTGCACAAATCTTCGTCAGCTGTAATGTTTTATCTGTGAATAGGCGCAGATAGCCTACCGAACGTCCCCACTTGGGCATATGACCAGATTTCAGAAAAAGCCTTGTGGTAGTCATGACCCCTAGAAAGACCACGAAACACAGCTCAAGTCGTTGTGATACTTGGTAAAGATGACGAGACAATACCTTACCTGTTACGGGGTCCACTGTGCGATCAATCACATCGGAAGACAAGACATGGGAAGCGAACGGGTTAGGGTATTTTTGCCAAACTGCCTGGGTCACGGTTGGCCAGCTGTGCTGGTAGGTCCCAGTGAGTGAGAAGAATTTGACCATATTCAGTGATTACTAGGGTAAAGCGGGAGTAGGGGGAACTCCAAATTGAGCAAGCAAGGGAAACCGAATCCCTAGGTAGCCCCCCCTTTCTTTGAAGCGGGGTATGTGCCGAAGCTAGAGGAATGTAGGGCTGCGTCAGAGGTTGTTGGATCTCAATATACCAAATAATCGCTTCCAGCGTTAAGCTAGTCATAATGAAAGAGCAAACGGACGGGACAGCTCCCAGCCTACGGTAACGGATAGGCTGCACGAGAAGCAGCCAAGAGCTGGTCACTTGAGTACAGCCGGTAGTCGCTTCGCACCCGCCATGCTACACAATTACCCTCAAGGTTCACACCCCCAAAATTGCCGTCCAATGTCACGTCATGGTATTTGCTGAAAATGAGTCTCTCGCATCACTCACCTTATCGAATTCGCAAGAAATGTCTTGTTGCAGAAGCTTCTTCGCCTTTCCTCAAGGGCATTTTGTCATCCAGTGGTTTGAATGTGAGTTCCAGTGTGGATGGAATGCAAAGTGGCTGTGAAATTCATTTGCTAATGCAGGGGGAGATTGATCACGTCCTTGTGTCGGAAAGGAACGCTTGGCTTTGCGTTTGTTGTTGGAGTATAGTTACGCTCGCCTCGACTTAAAGTTGGAAGAACGAACTCCTTAGGACCAAGTTGATATTGAACAGTTTCATCCAACCACGTTGAATAGCGAAAATGTCGACGGAAGGTGCGCATTCATTCCTGCCAAGAAGTAACCAGTATGCTAATGGGTCTATCCGCTCTGCAGTAAAGCCTCTTCCCGTCCACTACAGCCTTGCTGCAGGTCAAAGAAAATGGTGACACTGTATAAGAAATTACCCCTGACTGACATGCGCTGCGTGTAGGCGCCATCGCGGGAGTAACCGAAATTCTTGCCATGTACCCCCTCGACGTTGTAAAGACCCGCTTCCAACTGACTGTGGGAAAAGCAGAATCTAACTCTATTCTCGGAACATTCAAATCGATAGTGAAAAGCGAAGGGTAATGGTTCTAGTGCTGTCAGAGAGTGCACGGAAGGGACAGGTTCTAATGTAGTGCATTCTTATCCTGTAGACCTGCGGCACTATACAGAGGTATGCTGTATGCGATTGACCAATCATCCGGCGGATGTTGTTTATCATTTACGATCGATCAGGAATCATTCCTCCAATTATGGTGGAAGCACCCAAGCGAGCAATCAAGTTTGGAGCAAATGATGCGGTCAGTGCTTCTGTCACCGAATCCTCATGTCCCTGCTGGTTTGTAGCTGTGTGTAACGCAATTATCTCCATTATCGGCAGTATAAGAACTTGTATAAGCGAAATTTTGGGTTCAGAGACAGCCAAGGACTGTCGGTCCTGACTGGAGTGAGCGCCGGAGCCACTGAGGCTTTGGTGGTGGTTTCATTCGACTTAATCAAGATTCGATTGCAAGACAAGAACAATGTAAGTCACAAAGTGTTGCTCAGAGTCTTTTCACCTACTCATCCCTCCATTACAGGCCGGAAAATACAAAAACACGTTCGTACCTATTGATTCGATAATCTCGCCCCGTTACTTACCGTCGGTTGTGCTAGTATGGACTGTGTAGCGAAAATCATGCAAGAAGAAGGGATCAGAGGCTTTTTTAAGGGCATGGAAGCGACTATTTGGCGACACGCGGTGTGGAACGGAGGTTATTTTGGTGTCATCACTGGTGTACGTCAAGCGCTACCTGAACCCGAAACGAAGCAAGGGATTTTGCTGAAGAACTTTGTGTGCGGATCATTTGGAGGAACAGTCGGAACACTGTTGAATGTAAGCTATCGCCTCTGAGCTACCGGGGCGACGTACTAATATATTTCTACAGACCCCGTTTGATGTCGTCAAAACTCGAGTACAATCTCAGGTGCATCCACCATATAAATATAACTGGGCAATACCTGCAATAGTAAGGATTGCTCGGGAGGAAGGGTTTAGCGCCTTGTACAAAGGTACGTATTTGCTATCTTCGTGAAGGTAAACTGGAAACTCAACAATTTATTTGGCCTGAAAGGGTTTGTGCCAAAAGTCCTTCGATTGGGCCCTGGAGGAGGAATTCTTTTGGTGGTGTACGACCTTGTCACATCTTACATGCGAAAGTAAGTGATGCACGTGTCTGCACCCAGCAAGATCGCCTACATTAACATGGAAAACACTCTCATGCATTCCAGGCACCTCCTCTGAAACCTCGATTTGTAACAACTGGTGTCCTTATTTCGTTGCTTTGTTTAGACAAAACATTTTATAGACAAACATGAGCAATGTAATGAATGCTGCAGCAAATGTAATACTAGTCTCCTAAGACTGCTTTTGCTGCTCTTGAGCCGCCGCATCTGACAGCCGCCCAGCGAGGGATTTCGGCTTGATTCTAATAGATACAAATAATGAAGCTTCTGTGTTGGATCACCTGGATGCATATTGCAGCAAGGAACTCACTTGTTGAGGAGATGATTGCGCTTAGCTTCGACCTTCTGAGTTGCCGGAGACATGAGGTTATCAGTCGGACTTCTAAACTGACTATAAACAAGGCAGCATTGGTCAACAAAAGCGGTAACAGCAGGACAACGCCCGAAGGTTCTAATGATCCTGGAAACGAAGGCAACATACCCCGCCTTCTGGAACTTTCCTAGAGGGTGTTTGCTAGGAAACGTGGGTTTAGGCTGTGAACTCGTTGGCTCCGTGGCATCCTTCTGCTGCGACTGGTCAGGCTGCGTATCCTGCTGTTGGGCTTTAACGGTGGGGTCGGGTTGCGCGGAGAGCATTATGGGTTGATGTAAAGTGACAGAGAAAATTATAGACGTTCTATATTGGTAGTGGTCTCCGGCTTGGGCTTCTGGTGCGGAAAGGAAATGTGATGTCGTCGAGATGTGGACGTGCTTCTTGAGAAAGCGCTGCAAAAGGGAGTCTTTCCGTAAGCACTCGGCTCAGACGTGTCCGAAATTCGGACGCCGCGCCACTGCATTGCTCCAAGCATGATGCTTTCGTCTGTCCCATCCTTCTGACAGAGGAGAGATCTCCATGGAGAAGAAACCCACAGCAAGGATTCCTGTAGGAAAGCTGAAAAGTGCAGATATAACGCTCATTGAGCGTAAAAAATCATTGTTCACTTCTAGAAATTGACGATTCTATCTAGATACCACCATAATATATACATGACACCGTCATATCTACTCTAACTGAGATCGTGTATGCGCTATGCATTGACGGATGCTGGCAATTTTCCCTGATCGAAAAACAAGTCAGCCAGTCAAAATATCTGTCTTGGAGCACGGCATGACACTCACAAGTTTTTTAGCTGACGGTACCTCATACGGTATGTAACTGCCACTTGCATCTTGTGGTGACGGATTATTCAGCCTGTCCGCGCTTCCACTTGCCGTCTGAAACCGGTCCGAAAACGGGTCCCCTTCCCCTAATTGATGCCATGGATTTTAGTTTCCAACACAGGGACCGAGTAACCGTGAAGATGAGCTATACCTGAGAACGATATCAAATCGGGCACCTCTCTAACAGACGAAGCTTGGCTTAATATCATCACATCTTCACGGATACCACGACTTGTGCCATTCACCTTGCCGGTTCCCTAAACACAATCCCACCAGCAGCCTGCAGATATTTCAGCAAGTCAATGCAAATGGCTTGTAGAGCGAAGCGCTATCCATCATGTACCTTTTCCCGCGCCCGAACATTATGTTGGGAGTTTTCCAATGCTTGGAGCAGATTCCTGCTCTCGACGGTCTCGTCGTATAACGTAAACGCGGCATCAATATCACCATTGATCTTCACCAGTTTGCCTGCAACCTCGCATTACATGGTTGAAAATGAAAGAAGAAGAATTCCACGAGATTACGGTACCAAGAAGATCGCCGTCATCAATTTCTTGAATTAAGCGCAACACTCGGGATTGAATCTCCTTGCATTTAGCCCGAAACTCCTATAGGTAAACTTTCAGCGTTTTGTTCTTCTTCCAGTCGATATACTCCTGTAGGTCGAATGACTATCCATTTCATCCATGTTTACGTACCTGAACAAGTTCATTCTCGCTCGGACTTTCTTCGGGAGGTAAAAAATTCAGCGCCTCCATAAACATCGCAATATTGTTATCCGCCAATATGAGATCCTTTGCCATCTGTTCACTTCTTTGCGCAAAACTTTCCGTAGGAGGCTTCCAATAGCAGTGGTACGTCAGAAAATATCTGGTATTTGATACCGAACAGAATGCTTGATAGACTGCCTACATACAGATGAAAGCCAACCACGATGGCTGGCAAGACTAGGAATCAAAATTTGAGGAGATTGAGTACGGCCACTGGATATTGTCATGAACTTGACATATTGCGCCAGTTAGCTTAACTCTACTTGCAGCATACCGGAGAACTCACCAGTCCTCCTTGCGAACCATGTCTCGCTCCAACGACCGGAGAGGGGAAATACCCTGATATTACTTCCTCTTTAGCACATGTTTCGAACGTTTGTTTTTTGGGTAGCTTGTTTTGTCACGCATACCTTTTCCTCCCAACCAAGAGAGAAGTCCTATCAAAGGAGGTCGAACGCCAGGATCTCTTGTACTCTCCATCTGCAGGTGTCACAAGTGAGTAGACCCGAAAACAAACGCGCGATCAAGATGGTAATCACCCACCCATTCTGCTACCAGATTCACAAAACGCATTCGGTTCTCCTGGACAAAATCCTATCATGCTCATCAATATGAGAAACAGCACTGATGCCTGGTCGTGTGTAGCCCTTCCGGTACGCACGTTTGAATCATACAGCCTCATGAGCGAAGCAACATTCTCGGGATGTACAAAAGCCACCTGGACTTTTGCACCACAGTTTTTCATCAACGCGTCTAATATCGTCAATGCATAAGACTGTACAACTGGACTCTTATGTTTCAATCGACGTTTTAGGGCGCGCACGACTTCCTTCCCTCTACACATGAAGGGCAAATATAAGCGAATGGTATTTTTCACTTCCTGGTAATAGTCCCGTCATACCCATCTGCTTGCATGTTCACTCTGTCAGCAGCAGCGAACACCATTGTCCAGTTGACTTCTTCCAACTCGGGGGCGCTTGCTTCCTCGATGAGGTCCGCCAGGCCGCCTCCTTTCTTGAAAATCTTCAAACTCATGTTACGCTCTTGCAACTTGGTCAGCGTGGTTGACGTCGACGGATATTCCGGGCAGCTGCTCAACGCTCTCGAAACACTGTTGCGGAGCTTGCAATTGTCCATTATCAGGATGGTGTGCTGCGCCATAGCCAATTTATCTCAGGAAGGAAACTGAATTACACAGCCACCGATCGTAGTTATATGCGCGCCGTGGGAACTGGCATGTTCGTTTAAGCCATGCGACGCTCACTCGCACCATCAAAACGAGAGCACTCCAACACTGCCTCCGCTCACTCAGTGTCCAATCCCACTAGTAGTGCTTCCCTCCATGTCCCTGCCCTTCCAGCAAAGCGTCGGAGACTTTTCACTTCCCCCCTACTACCAAAGAATGTCTCTACTGCTACAGAAAACCACGCAAGGCACCAAGAAGATAACGGAGGAGATCTTGATGCGCTCAATAAAGTAGAGCCAGGGAGCTGTTATAGTGTGGTCTATCGAAAGAAGCAGCAGAAAAAGGTGAAGGATGTTACATAACCGTACCACCCATAAGACCTTCACGTTCAGATATGTGGCATCTTTTGTAATCCAGCATAAGACTTGGGATGCAGACGGTATACTAGTTGTACACACAAGAAGCGCACTTCTTCAGAATATGGAAGGCAAAGTGTATGATCGTGCCGTTAAGAAAGATCTCTCTCGACACTTGCTTGAGAGCGCTATTAGGCTAGGTAAATGCGGACTCCCCTCAGCACCACTTGCTGAAGGATCAATGATTACTATCGGTAATAGAGAAGTCGAGGTAAGCGGTGTGACTGCCGAAACATGCCACCGTTTTGGCAGATCGTGACAACCGATCTAGGTTGGGAGTCTCCTTGCATGGAGTGATTACACGAGCGGACGTAGGTCCTCCGTGCTTATTTTACACGTTTCACAACAATATATATTCATCTGCAATATTAGAGTGCTACATTGAGTCACAAGGAGAACCGGTTTTAAACCCAACGAAAGGATTTAAAAAGTTCAAAGCCCTCTCGGGAAATATTGCCTGCTCGTCCACAGTTGCCAAAATTGCCAGCCCTCGCCATAATCCATATGCTTCAAATGCTCTTGTGATGCCACGACCAGTGACGGAAGATGGAGGGCAAGTAAAAGAATGTCCTCGCTACAAATTGTCACTGGCCTCATGGGTGACATATAGGAGAACTGCTCAAATAATTGATGTCGTCGTGGATCCCGTCATCTCATCACATCTACGACCACACCAACGAGAAGGTGTTGTATTTCTTTATGAATGGTATGTAGGGCTGCTACTGGACGTGTCTGATCTGCTATGTACTAACGATTGTGATAGTGTCATGCAAATGAGAGGTAAACCTGCCTTCGGCTGCCGCGCTGTTCTTGGCGCTAAAAAACGCTTGTAGATTTCAACGGTGCTGGCGCTATCTTAGCTGATGAGATGGGACTTGGTACAGCAAGCTGGAATCAATATATGCCAATCATTCAGTTAACTAATCTGGGCTGAGCAGGGAAGACCGTACAAACCATAGCTGTAATATGGACCCTTCTCAAGCAGACTAGCATCGCAGGCTCTCCACCTCCGGTGAAACGCGGTTCGTTCTCAACGCGAGATCTTGCTGTCATGATGCTCATTGTTCGCTACGTAGCCTTGATAGTTTGTCCGGCAACTTTGGTCGAAAATTGGAAGAATGAGTTCAGAAAGTGGTTAGGGGACGAGAGAATTCGAGGTTCGACACTTAATACCGCTTCCGTGGGATGAAAAATGAACCGATATTTGACGCGGACATACTTGGACTAGTATTTGCAGTTGATGAGAAATCACAGATTGCAGATTTTATTGTAAGTCGCCTATATCAAGTGCTTGTGATTGGGTACGAGAAAATGAGAGCGTTGCAAGATGAAATAGCCAAAGCGAACTTCGATATCGCTGTTTACGATGAAGGTAAAGGTCTCGTCACCAAGTACACAGGTGTCTTGCTGACAGATACATCAGGGCATAGACTTAAGAACAGTCAGATAAGAACAGCACAGGTAATGAAGCAGCTTCAAACGAGCCGGCGTATCCTTTTATCGGGGACACCGATGCAGGTGAGATACGGGGGTTGCGCCGACGCATCGTCTTAGTCGATGCTGACAATCTACAAGAACGATCTGAGCGAGTTTTTTTCGATAATTGACTTTGTAAATCCAGGTATAGTGTTGTTTGCGTTAATCTCAAGTCTCAAGCAGCGGATCATGAGACATTCCACCACGGCACTTACAGGGGTCTTGGGAACTTTCAATACTTTCAAGGTAATTATCTAAGCCATCTGTTAACCGTGTGTGCACTTCGCCAATTAATGAGCAAACAGAAAGTGTTCCAAGATCCAATCATGAAAAGCCGCGATCGCAGCTGTACTCCCGAGGAGTACGACTTGGGACAAAAAAGATCCAAAGAATTGTCCCGGTTGACGCACATGTTTATTTTACGTCGGACTAGCGAAGTTAACGCTAGATACCTGCCACCTAAGTCCGAATTTGTTCTGTTTTGCCGACCCACTGCATTGCAGCTGAGCATGTATCGTCATATTCTCGGCTCCCCCGATGTGAAGACGTGCATCCACGATGCGGGAAAAGATATGAGCAATATTCTAGAGTTTTCTACGATGCTTAAGAAGCTGTTAAATGCCCCCCAGCTGGTTAGTGCCAATCAAGTGCGCGACGTTTCACTAGTGCTCCTCATGATGTCGCTTCTTGAAGGTGACCAATGAGCGGGTGGCCGATTTCCCCATCCTGGCTCCTGAAGTTTTAAATGACGTACGACAGGATGCTCAATTCAGTGGGAAAATGTCTGTCCTAGCATCTCTTCTGCGAAGCATCAGAGAAACCACCCAAGAAAAGGTGAAATACTATTTCATCGAGAGTTTATGATAACTTATAGTGCTGACCCTGGCAGGTTTTAATTGTGTCCAACTGGACACAAACGTTGGATCTTATCGAAACTCTATGCACGCAGAGGGCATATGGGCTTCTGCGCCTGGATGGCAAGACCCCGGTTGCCAAACGTCAAAAATACGTCGACCAGTTTAACACTTCAAATGCGTATTTCGTCTTTTTGTTGAGCAGCAAGGCTGGAGGAGTAGGGTTGAATCTCACTGGGGCCAGCCGATTGATTCTTTACGATATTGATTGGCAAGGATGCGCTTTGGCTGTCGCTTTTTGATATCTGCATTTACCTGTTGAGCTTCTGTTTTAGGAATCCTAGTATCTGTCAGCAAGGTACAGGACGGTCTCGTCAAGTCTTTAAAATCGTTGCGCTAATGTTGCCCATTCAGCCATGGCGCGCATCTGGCGAGATGGTCAGTCCCGGGATGTAAAAATATATCGACTTCTCAGTACCGGAACGATAGAAGGTCAGTATGGTACAAACTAGCCAAACATTCCTTTCTGAATCCGTAACAATCCAGAGAAAATATATCAAAGACAATTAACAAAGATTTCCCTAAGCGATGCTCTGATCGATGATAAAGAAACCGGGATGAACGCATTCACCTCGCAGGAATTGAAAGATCTCTTTACTCTCGATGAAAACACAGAATGTCTTACGCACGATTTGCTGGGATGCAGCTGCCAGGTGAGTATGGCGTGTTCTAATCAATGTGATTTGACCTTAACCGTACCATCAGAAGGGGATGATTTCCTCCACCACAACAACTTTCACGGAGAAATTCAGTGAACTAAAATGCTGGGAGCACTTATCAAGTGGGATGGTTGAGCGGCTGCAGGAAGTGGATCCTGTCATCACAAGAGCACTCTCTCAAGAACCTGCGTTAAGAAAACCCCTCTCGTATATTTTCCACAAGGCGACAGTTCGCGGTGGATCGCTTACATCGACATGAAAACTATCCTAATATCACAACGATTCAGAGATGTCCCAAAAATTGGAAAGATCCACTCTTTGGAATCAGTTTCATTTTCATTTGGCGCTCCTGACATGTCCGAGCCAGCTTTCCAGGAATTGAATGTAAACGGGCGGGAGCTGGGTCTCACAATACTTTTTCCTCTGACAGCGGTCCATACTCCACCCGTACTGCTGGAACGCAAGCAGGAGCTTTATGTTGGTCATGCATGTTGCAGAGAACCATGAGAGAATGAATGGATCCTTTTGTCATATTCTCCGTGGTCCTGACCCGCACTGTCCAGCTAGTTGGTCCAACGTCTCCGCGACACAAATCTTCAACGCTTCATTGGAGCTGCGTGCTCGTTCATCCAGTTCTTTAACTCCCTTCGCTAGCCTCTCTAGTGTACCTCGTGTCCTATCTAGTGTCGTGTCCGTTGCTGCAAACATTTTTGCACTCTTCGCCAGAGTATCCGACGTAAGTGAAAGGGGGCTAACTGTAGCCGTTACGGTGCTACTCAAAGCCGCTTGAGCTAGTCCATGGAGGGTCGGCTTGGAGTGGGCCAAAAAGTCTACAGGTAGAGGAGATGGTAGTGCATACGAAGAGCTGCTGGTAGCAGGAGACACTGAAATTGTACGTTTGGTTGACATTTCGACCAACGTAACGAGCCAAACGCCCGCGTAAGCCGGCACTAACGCGTCTATCCCGCTGGGGCTTTCCGATCTCGTACTATCGTCAGAATGCCGAGACGGTTCCCCTCGGCGGCAACTCCTCAGCAGCTATTCGACAGGATACGTCCTGAGCGGCTTACGTCGTCTCCACATGTAGACGCTGAACTGTATAAGATTATCTCTCTTATCCTGCGGGATTACGTCTGCGTATGGTAGCGGTCTGATGTTTGTCGACTTCCACTCTATGAGCCAGTGCTAACTAACCAGATCTATTGCAGGTACCAAGAATTGTCTCATGATGAGGAGTTCCTGGCTGAAATCGTACATATAATTGGTCATGCGGTGCAGGAGCTCGAGCACAACTGTTTAGCGAAAGTGGACTGGGTCAATTTCTTAGCTAAAAACGTTCCAGATGTCTTGCGTACACATATTCACGACTATAGGAACTGCAAAGAAAAGCTTGGAACGGTGTATGCTGGAGGGAAAAGTCTCGAGCAACTCTTCCACGGATGCCAGCCGCATTTTGCCCTGGAGAACGCGGAAACCGAGGTGGACTACTGTCGAAAAATTGTCGACGTGCTGCTTACCATCCTGTTACCGGAGGACGAATTGAAGAGTGACTGTTTGAGGTTTTCCCTGAGAGAGATACTACTCAATGCAGTGCTACTACCCAGCGTCGAGCGTTTTACTGATGGTGACCACATCAATCAGCTCATTGTACTGGTACATGCAGAAAGAGCTGTCATTTTCTTGTCTCTCGGAACTTAGAGTCATTTCTAGATTCTATCCTCTTCCACCGTAAACGATGCGTATGATGCCTCAGGCGCTTCCGTTAGTGAGATGCCGCATGTGCCAGAATACAGTAGAGATACGCTGCCGTCGTCACCACAGCTGGCACCTATAAGGGATCGTTCGTCAACCCACGATCCTGCGTCGAATTTAAGCGGAAGAGAGCATCTACCTCTGCTGTTCAATGTGGAAGACGCTGTGCAACCATCATTTTTGAAGCGTCGTAGGACCGTCGCGCCTCATAGTTCCGGCACGGCGAGTTCTTTGGTTACCAAGCTGACATCCGGCTTTGAAACAGGACTAGACAAAGTTTCAAATCGATTTGGACGCATTAAAAATGCGGTTGCCACTCCGGCGCAGCGGGAGCAAAAGAGTAAGCTTCCCGTAGCTAACCCTACACTGCTGAGTACTACGAGTCAATGCCAAGCTCCAACGGACGTTACTCAATCCTCAAGGAATGACCCTGATAGAATTTCCATAGCTCACATTGACGATGCATATCGACGAGGAGTTGCGCCCGCCACATCTGATGTCAGCGGAAGCAGTGAACCTACAAATCAAAACAACGAACGGCCACCGATGGATGACGGCGGCACCGATGAGTTTGCCTCCAGGAGCTCGGATGATGAAAACTCTGGCTTAAGCATCGATTCTGTTTATACTGATGCCACGGAGAAAAGTCTGGACTTTGACAATTTGTCAGAAGGGCCTTTAAAGGGAAAAGGTACATCCTTTACGTCAGACATTGATCCGACAAAGTTTTCCCCGTTCCGAAACGAGATGAGGGAGTCGGCTGCAATCACGCTTCGTGACATCTGGACTGGTCTGCTGGCAGTACAACGAGAGGCCAGGTCTGGACCTTGGATGATAGGATCTATTGATACGACGCAGTATGAGGCAGATCACTTGGAGGACAATCTGATTGACTTCATAATATCGGCGATACGACTGGGAAAGCGTCGAAAATGGCTGTATACCCAAGTAGTATTTTTCCTCAAGCCAATTCTTCACTTCTTCGGAGGTTCCCTGATGAACAGGTGTGGTAAAGAATGCATTAGGATACGGTATTCTTCAGGGTCTGATATAATCCTCGGTAGGCTTATCATCAAGGGTGTTCATGCAGTTATCTGTGAAGATATGGTCGCGAAATATCTGCTCTGGTTTCGATCATCGATGTGGCCTGGAAACATTTTGGCAGATGGAACGAGCGATGGAACGACAGATACAACTAGGAAAGAAGCAACTCGCCGTGAGGCTGAGACTTTGTTGAGAAAAAGCGTGCCACGTAAGTGCTGACCACCGGCTTCATCGATGATACGTTGCTAACATATATTAGCCATCATATATACATCTTTTGGAGAAGACGAAGTGCAGGACAGCCTATCGGATCTAGTAGATATGTTGCAATACACGTACATCAACAAACACCTCTTCTACGTGCTTCTGGATCTCTGCATGGTTCAGTTGGCACCCGAAATCGTAGATATGGCTCACAGGCGAGATAAATAGAGCCTACATAAGCCGGTGCGTCCTGTGACCGTGTCGGTACCATTATGCCACAGTGAGGTCATCACTAGATGCATTGTTCCAGGTCAGTTTTATCGGTTTAAAGCAAATCCGAGCTGGTAGCCCACCTAAAATACAAATGAACAGCTGGCAACCAGTCTTCCTCGTCTATTCCAACTTGTTCAAAGTACGGACTTTCGTCCGTGATGCTGTTTTCTTCCAGCGTTCGCGACATATCCAGAAGCTGGCCCAAGCGTTTCCACATATAGCCTTTGGCGTGAGAATTGTAGGCTAGATAACGCTCTTGTATAGCCGACAACTTCTCTTCAGATGCAACCTGCAAGCGGTTTTAGTGTGCGGGTAAGAGGCATTCCTTCAGAATTGTCAATTCCGTCACTTGAGAAGCATACCTCTAGAACATGTTCATCTCGAGTTAAAGTATTGATGATCCTGATCTTCCTCGTTTTTTGACTTAATCTTCCAATGCAATACTTATGTTTGTTCTGCCACCACGGAACCGCGCTCCCAGTATCCATCGTCGATGACCAGTCTGAGAAGGGTACCGGCGGTGGAACATGTAGAAATGGTCCTTCTGGTGTGTAGGGGGTGAGACATTCAGTGAGGGGATTGATTTGTGATTTGAGCTGCCAGTGGAGTGGGCAAATACACAAATCTCAGCATGTGCTAGCTATCAGGTTCTCAAAACGACTACATACATCACCAGTTTTCCTATCAAACCAATGTGAAATATCCTTCCCCGCATTCTTCAAAATCGGTGCCAGCAAAGGTTCGCCTTTGTGCTCTTCCACAAGGGGAGTGAGATCGTAGACATATCCGAGCCAAGATACCCAACAGTCTTCGGGGGCATTATGCATTTCCACCTCAGCGGGTGTAAAATAACGATCCTCCAGCCGGGCGCCATTGCGAAATCCTGCCGACATGGTAGAGTGCTTAAAAGATAAAAGCTGGTAGCCAAACGGACTTTCTGCGCTACATGTACGTTATGTAAGCAGCTTACGCAACTGGGCGAACTTATACTCACTCCGATTTGTATTAAAGGCAGAAAAACCCTTTAGTCTAGTTTTCTATATACATAATTACATTTGTTCAGCTCAACGAAGTTAAAGCTGCTGTTCCACGTTTGACAAAGAAATCTGGATCATGCTGCCCAGTCTTCAGTTCCAAAGCAATCACAAAAGAAGGGCGTTCTCTATAGATTGAAGCGTAAAGATCAGAAAACGGGTCAGGAGACACGGCTAATAAGTTGAAATTACCTTGTCCCGGACCGAACTGGATAGTAGTATAGTGGACAACTGTACACGCCCTTGACAGATTTTTTCTTACTGTCCACTGGTTTAAAGTGAATGGGGGGCATAGGGGTTATGAGTTCCATTGGTTTCGGCTCCGTGAGGCAATTGCTTTTGCGGTCCCAACTGTCGGGAACGCCACAAAACTAGTATTAGCAAGGGGAAGAAATGGCTATCTTGACTGCGACTATTACCTGGCGCCTTCAAGGTACAAATGTTTTATATAAACCCCTTCCTTGGGCGGTTGCTGAACATGGCTGTCGTCTTCAAGCTGAAGAACAGTAAAGTCCCACGACAGTGCATCGATGGCGATGTTATTTCGTCTCGCCGTCTTCTGCAGAACCGCCGTCAGGAAGCCGGTTGGGAAGGTGAAAGCACCAAGCCAGAAGAGCTTAGGTTCCACCCTATATGCAAGTAGGAAACGTAAGGACGTTGGTTAGCGATCAAAGATGATGAAAATATGGGTACCTGATACCTACCCTTTCGCCCAGTCAGCGAAAAACTCAACGCGAAGTGTCAAGTCGCGGGTCCACGCAGCGAGGGGCTTCAGCGACCCATAAGCTTTTCCCCACTGTGGCGGCACTCGGCTTTCAAAAATGCAGTTGAACGTTTCCTCCAATTCCGGTGACATGACCACGATACCCTTGATGCCGTTTTGTAAGTCCGTAAGCGACCTTCGTATCTTGATCAAAAGATCGTTATATCGCGAGATCTCCTGCAGTAGCACGACCGTTGTTGGGGACATATCATGTTGCACCATTTTGTACGTCGCATCATAGTCAATATCTTCCGGTAGTCGACGTAACATATCCGAAGCAATTGCATATACTTTGTCTTCACGACTAGCTCCAGCACCAGTGGTCACCTGGGGTTGAAGGGATAACAAACTTTGCAGCATATTTCCGGATTCCCGAATTTGACTCGCAATATCTGCGTTCGGATGTTGACCAAAAACTTCAGGCTTATCAAAGGCTGGCAGAGAGGCGACATAGTCGCGGAATCCCGGAAGATCTGTCGATTCGGGGATATAATAATTCGGTAATGATGAAACTCTAAATTGTGGAGTTTGTATCGCCTCATCGCTAAACAACGTGTTGATGTAACTTCGTAAAACTCGCCGATCCCAATCATCTGTTATCCTGCCACCGTAATTTGCTTCCGCAATAAGATATTTCAGTGCGTCCCAGGGCGTTTCTTGATATTCGTCCAGAAGTACTACCATCAAATTCTCGCAGATTTCAAAATCAGAGTCATTGAAATCCGCAGTTACATTCCAGCCAAGCGTCTGGAATTTCTTCCTCTCAATGAGAACGCTATGGAAGAAGCAAAGCGAGAAGAGGAGCTTTTTGTAAACATCTAACTTCGTACATCGGTTGAAGTTCTCTTCCGTGAAACCTGCGTACAGACGAGCAAGGTTTGCTCGTATACCCTTCGGTGGCTCGGTCGTCATTTTAATGCCACTTTGCAGAATCGAAATTGGGAATTGCGGATGCGGACTACTTGAGAGCCATAGGCGGAAGTCCGGATGAGGATGCTCAGACGTAAGACCCTCAACGATCTTGTCCAATGTCGGCATCCAACTGATCGACAGATGACAATTTGCTAGGAAAACCCAGTTACCTTCGCGGATCCCATCCTGTATCATCTTGGTTGCCTTTTGGGCCTGGCCTTGTCCAAGTGACAGGTAATTGAAGCGCCCAGACATGCCACGCTTTTGTGCAAGGGACATTAAGGAACTTGTCGGATCGACACCTGGGGATAGAACGAAAATGAGGGGTATGCGAGGTGAGGAGTCGGCTAAAATATCTGCAATATCCAAAATGGGGGGCTCTACAAATTTCTGGCCGAGGTTCGCAATGACAAACTTGCTGGCACAGAAGATCACCCGATCAGGGCGTAACGATCGCACTACTAGCATGCGTTGAAGGTCGTTGAGCTTGTTCTCCCATTCGCCTGGCAGTGCGGTCTCTTCGGGGTCACTGGTCATAAACCACGCCTTCCACTCTCGCTCACTTTGCTCCAGTGAGCTGACAAGACCGGAAAACGCGGGTAGGACATCCAATTCGGTTATATTATCCCACGCAGACTCCGTTATCCTAGGGGGCATCCCGTATTAGCGACTATTCTGTGCAGGAAGGAACTCAGGCAAGAGACGTACCACTCTGAGTATGGGTTGGGCAATTGCCTGTCCCTGTCGAGGACCTGCCCGCCTCTTAAGAAAAAGTCATACTCTTCCTTGGGGAGCTTCTTGGCTGCCTCCATAATCTTAACCGTCATCTGGAAAGCAAATAGCAATTTGTGGGACTCAAATAAGCCCCGGCAAGTGTTTTTGTACACCGAGTACGTATGGAACTCATTCAGGTTTGCAATCCGTTCCGCAAGCTCTTCAGATTTTTTGCTTTTGCTGATCGATTTATCGAATAAATCCGTGTACGCATCAAGTGAAAATTGGTACATTGGGTCCACGGTCGCCAGGTCGTTTAGCACAAAGTATAAGATGGACGCACGTTGAGCGCAAGGCCGATATCCTTCTCGAGCAGTGTCGATCCGCTTTTCAGTCTGCTCGCTGATAACAAGCTGCTGCGTGACTTGCTCGGCAGTTGATTTGGATGACTGCAAGGTGAGTACTAGTTTCTCATCGTCTAGTAGAGATCCTTGCGCAGTGCTCAATAAATGTAATATCTCGTCCTCAAGATCCGCCAATTTTTTCTTCGCCGCTGCAACGTTCACAACTAATGCGTTCTTCTGCTCCTCGAGTTCTGGTTTCTCACGACGAACCACGATTCCCAGGAGCTGATCTTCAAGACCTTTTTCCTTAACGGCGAAGTTCACAATGGTAGCCTTTGCAAAGACCTCAGGGGAATAATGAGGATTTGCTAATTTTGTGGTAATATAGAAGCGGAAGTCGGGATTGTACTCTATTTCTTTGTCGCCGAGCTTAATGGTAAGTTGACCACCCTTCTTGATCACGGACTTGTTGAGGATCGGATCCAAAGCGGGGTCAATGACCTCTAGAACACCCTGCAACATAACTGGCTTGCCGTATTGGATGGCGGCTTCCAATGTTCTCATGAAATCCGACTGCTTGAGGTCAATGATTTTGAGGTCCTTCTTCGCTTCCATGTTCTTGATCCACTTATTGGCCTGTCCTTGCGGATCAATCATTATAGGCCAACGTCGACCCCTGGTCACAATGATACCATTCTCTGCCGAGAATGGATCACTGGGAAGGCCTTGCAGGGTCCACTCTCGAATATCCGTCGGTTTGCCAATGAACGTGTCAAATGAAAAAGCAGGAGTGAAAGGAATTTCTAGCGCCTTGATTTGGGCTAACCACACTGAATTGACAAGGGCCTGACGATAGTTACTTGGAAAAGGTCCAGCATAAGACAGGAATGCGGCGGCTAGTAAACAGTCACCGGGGAGATATCCCATAGCCTCCTCGTAGTTTTTGATGCTGCGCTCCCATCTGTCCCGTTCACCCGCTAGACCAGACACCAATTGCTCGGCTCGTTGTAGTTTTAGCTCGGTCAACTCTGAATCTTGTCGCAGTTTCTCCTTGAGGCCGACTTTATCATCATATTGCGTTTTCAGCTCGACAAGCTTGTCCTGAATCTCTTGCAACTTTGCTTTGGCTTCTCGCAATGACTTCTGTTTCTTTTCTAGCGTTTCCTGCGCCAGTCTCAGTTTCTCTCTCTTTGGTGCTACTTGCCTGAAAATCGTGCCGTAACTTTCCATCGCTCGCACCCACATACATAGCGATTTTGCTGCCCCTGACACTCGGCCAACTACGTCAGGTTGGAAGTTTTCATCTGCGCAATATTGGTTGATCCTCTTGAGGATCTTATCTGATATGTTGTCTTTATCAAAATTGATCAATTGCTTGATGAAATACGGATTTCCAAGCTGACGTTTTGCTTCATCCCAAGTTGGCTCAGATTTCTTCAGAACCATTACGGCTTCCATAACCTTTTCAACTAACGGTGGAGGTTTCCCATAAGACCGAATTTCATTCAAGTCCTTTTTGTTAAGAGCCTCAAGGGCTTTCATTGCTGCGTTCAATGCTGGAATTGCCTGATCCAGGTCGGCTTGTGCAGCATCGGCGACTGCTCGAACTTCTTCTTCTTCAGCGCCAAGTTTTTCTGCTTTTGCTGCCACACTTTTGGCCTGCTCATCCGCTTCTCGTTTCTGTTGAACAATGATGACCAAGTAATCCTCGCATTGCTTTTGGTACTGAGCCACCTGCTTTTTGGCTTCCTCCAGTTCTACAGATATCTTTTCAACATTTTGACGTGTATCATCCAATTTGCTTAGACCATTTCGGAGCTTCGCCGCGGCTTCTCCGATCTGCTTCCTCTTCTCCTTGAGCAATTCCAGATATCCGGTCACCAATTCCAGGTAGTTGATTGGAGTTACATAGTTATACCTCTTCAGCTCAGTAATCATCCTTGCAGAGGTCTCGACTACGGATGTATGTACCGACACAAACACTTGCGATATAGCCTTCTTGGCCGGCTCCCCTCCCACATCAATATTTTCGAGATATTTCGCTGCAACTTCCATTAGGGCATCCTCAGGCCATTCCGAAAACCAGTCGATCGTGGTGCAGTTAATAAGGGCGGGAAACATTCGCAGTCGGTTTCTGAAAGGGTCTCCAACGGGACTCATGCACAAAACCACATGCAGATTTGCACGAACCCTCTCAATAAACCAACTGTACGCAGCATCGGCGTTATCGATATTGCGCTCTCCCTTGGCCGATGCTTGCAAAGCCTGCTTGATTTCGGTCAATTCTTCGGGAGTGAACAAATTAGGCACCTGTGAATCACCCATTATGAGACCACGTTCACTCCCGACAGTATCATTTTTGAAAGCATTACCTCTCCACTACTCAAAACATTACTTAAATCTTCCAAAAAGCTGTCAGATATAATTTGTTGATCCGTTATGAGGAAGGCAATCGGTTTGCCGTCAACACCAGCCAGTCGGTACACCTTTTTAAGATCTTCACGGAAGTCTACATGGCGATAATGCTTGGAAATCTTGATCTGAAACACCATGGTCTCTACCGTATAAGCTGCTAGCCTCGTAAGACTTTGTCTACCACTGCCACCAACACCAATCAGAAGCACATTTCCGGCTGGTTGGCGGAGAATACGGGTAATCCGACATATGTGCTCAATAGCATCCCGGAAGAGCACGAGATCGGCTTGGACAAAGCCGGGTTCCATGTTGTATTCCTGTAGCTTCTCGCTCATGAATTTTCTCAGTGCGCCCATATCTGGTATCTCTTCGTACGTTGGTTCCGTGCCAGGGTCCCGCATGAAATCAACAAATATAGGTGGTCGTCTGTCAGGAGATAATTGCTTCAAAGAGGTCCCGAAATGCATCACTAGCTTGTCATCGACAAGCTTCTGGAAGTAGTTACGGTCCTCTCTATCCGCCAAACGGTCATGGAAGACCCTGTAAACTTCATGGACCCAGAGCTTTTCAACGGATTCTCTCGAATCGAAAAAGTCGCGATTTGCTCGCAATAGACCTTGAAAAACTCGAGATATGTCACGAAGGTTGAAAAGATAGTGTAATTTTGCTGGCGTGGGCAGCAGCTGGGAAACTACTGTGTTATAGATCTCCAAAGTGGCTTGTGTCATGATATCGCCCAATGGCTTAACTTCCTCCTCGAAATCTTGTAATTTCTGGTTGATGATCGTACCGAAAATTCGCTTAATTGAAACCTCACTAGGAAAGGTCATATTGACGAGGTTGAATCTTGATTGCACACGGGGACTGATGGTATTTCTGCCGCCACCTGGTGGACCCATGGCTGCGACCATTAAGATGTCGTTAACGTGTTTCGGTGTCTGTTTTTGTCGATCGTAGAAGAACCCATAGTCCATCCACTGTCGGATGAGCTCCAACGGGGGTTGTGAACCGAACGTATCCTTCATGGGCATGTTGAAGTCGTCAATGAATGTAATCAGGTGCTTTCCCCCACAAGGTACATATGTGAGCTTAGTGCGCTTCTCCAGTTTGCTTTCGATTATGCTTTGCAATCCATTAGAAGACGTCCGAGCGGAGAAATTTATCAAGAGGACGTTACTTGTCTCTTGATTGAAGATCACGTTATGAATCAAGGATGTCTTCCCAGTACCAACCTCGCCTACCATGAGGACAGGACTCCTCTTGCTGATGAGTGCCCGAACAATAAATTCGTTGCGAATTGTGTCGATCGTTGGAACGAATATCTTATAGAAAGGTGTATTTGGAGCATAGCGCCATCCTCCTGGCAACTTATCTTCCCAAGACGCCCATCCTTTGTTTTGCTTGTCAACATAGTATTCGTAAACTGTATCTTTGCTCGGAAATTGCCCCTCGATCTCTCGAAGGAACATATCGAACCGCTTTCGGCTGTTGTCCGTCAATGACCCACCCATAGCCCAAATAACAGAAAAGAGGAACCAAAGCTCAATCATTCTGTTGTACGAATCAACGTCCTCTGGGTCTACTCCATTCTCCATCGTTGCCACGGCGTCAAAGAGGGCACATAATGAGCGAATTGCGCAAATCTCCGGCACAGGAACCAGTTCTTCACACGTTCTTCGGAACTCCAGTGTCTGTGGTACATATTTATCAATAAGTCGTCGCAGAGCTTCTATAGACTGCTTTTGCGCTCGCCCTTGCATCCAAGAGTCGACGAAAGGCCGCCATCCCAAATCCTTGTAGTCCATGTAAATCATACCAGCACGACTAACGGTGGCAGGTGATGCAGTGGATAAGTCGTCGACTTCGAATATCAACGAAACTTGTTCTGTCAAAGCAATTCGCTCTCCGTTGATCAGAGTCAGAACTTTATTATCGTCAAGAAGCGTATTCATCGATTCGATCCAAAGCGTATCAACAGGTCCGTCTAAAATGATCCATTTCTGGTCAGGTTTCTCATCCGCACACGCTATTCGCATGATACTGGAGAGTACGCCATCAGTCCATTCGTTTGCAGTAATATTGTTCTCCCCGTAGAGCTCCCCAAGACTCAGAGCTTTGGGGTTAATTGCGTAGACTTTGACCGAGTTATATTTCTCCGGATTCGATTTGGCTAACTTAGTGCTGGTTTGCTGAAGTAGCTTCCACACAGTTGATTTGCCTGATCCTGTTTCTCCAACGACCATGACACCATGACGCGTGAGCTTCGTTTCGTAAAGTTGTATAACTTTGGTTATGATTGCTTCTAAAGGTTGAATATTGTTGTTCTTCATCTCCTCGATAAGCGCAGTTCGAAACTCGGTATAATCCATCGCAGGAGCCTCAACTCCAGGGAAGAGATCGGACAGGATGCCCATGAACAATGGAACATCCCATGCGGTCAGTTTGGGTATGTTATTATCTCGCATCGATAAATAGAGGACAACATCATCTGCAACTGTCATGTCCTGCCGTTTTCGTGTTCCGGCACTGCGCAGGGCAGAAGTCATGGCACGAAGGCCAAAATCGTAGTGATCCTGCTTCGAGAGCTGCTGAATTGATAACTTATACAAAGTATCGACCTTTTTGGAAAGGATCCGAGTGTTCGAAAATCCTTCGGCAAACAGCATGATCTCAGCAATGAGGCCGCTATCCGGGACCATCATCGAAACGGGTCTGAAAAGTGATTTGAGATTGTCCGGCAACTCCGTACGACCGGCGTAGCCAGGGTTCATGGTGATAAAGATTCCGCACGCGGCATTCAATCTGATCTCTTGACCCTCGAATACGAAAACTTTTGTATTTCGTGCTATTGCACTGAGGATGCAAGATATTTGCAACGCAACGACACTGAGCACCTCAATGTTGATGCGATTGAACTCGTCGAAGCAGCCCCACGCTCCCGTCTGTGCCAGACCCGAAAACATTCGGCCAATTGACTTATAGTCCATGTCTTCGGAACAGTTTTGAACAATTACATACTTTCCAAGGCCCTTCCCCAGATCTTTCACTGTTTCCGTTTTACCTGTTCCGGCTGGCCCTTGAGGGCTTCCTCCACGGTGGAGGTGGAGCGCTGTGGTTAACGTCATGTAACACCGGTCCGTCAACGGGGTTATAACAAGCCTCCCGCTGTTGCCTAGATATTCATAGCCATATCTGAATTGAGTGTTGATCTGCCGAATGAAGCAATCTTCATCGTCTTTTGCCTCCTTTTCCCAATAAAACCGCAATTGACTTAACCAGTCGAAAGCGTTCACGTCGCTAACGTTGGCTTTGACCATCTTATCAATCACATCCCTCGAATGTACCTCCACTGTTATCAACGCGATCAACTTCTTGCGTTCAACCTTGTTCAGCGGCAGCTTAACAAGATCAGCAAGCTTCTTGAGCCTTATAATTTGCCGCTTTTTCTGATCTCTCATCGAATGCTTGTCACCCTTTTCGATATCTTGCAGAGCTTTGGTACAGTCCATTGTCCAAGCAATCAAACCTGCAGTAATCAAAAGCTGTCCGGGCCAGTCTTTGAGCCACTTGTCCATTTTTGCCTTCTTCATGGCCATTAGAGTGCCCATGAGCAGCCGTCGCAATGTTACCCGCATGGCAGCTTCGATTTCAGTTAACCATCCTTCAACAGGGCCTGCAATGATATCATACATTTAGATGAGGACGAGGGCAGCGACCAGATTGCATTTCTTACCCTCTATGACGACGGGTGTACTGAACGGAACGTATTCTCCGTCGCCAGCATGCATCCCGACTGCTTCCGCGTGCCTCCGGGTATCAGTGCCAGCCACTATCAGCTCCAATTTATTGATGCCATCAAAGCATTTTTTAAGATGTGGCTGAACGGCATTGGGATCTTTTGCCTGCCCCAATATTTCAAGTAGATCATCGTTTGAGAGAAAGTAAAAGCGAGGAAATGCCTGCCGTTTGGTTTCCAGGTACATGTCAAGAGATTTTTGGACCTTCTCCAGTTTCGCATTCATATCTGTTAGCTGCTCAAGTACGCCGGATTGATGCATGGCTCGCAGCACGTTTTTGTCGGCCATCATTCGTTCCATAACGGTTCTCCAGCTATTGTTCACGCCGTCAAAGACCGCCGACTCTTTCGGCAACTGTTTCCGGATGTCTTCCGTTCCAACAAATATGTTCTCGAGATACATCCATTGTCGCTGTACTTGCAAAAGAAGCTCAATGACTTCCATGATACGGGAAAGCGTACGCTCCCAGTGATCCACCTGGCCTTCGAATGCTAGGAAAAACTTTGATGCCTTCATTGAGGACAAAGTGACTTGGTTGTCTTCCAGCAACTCGAAGACGGCGTCTGTGCTCCTCAACTTGAAATAACCCTTGTCTTCCTTGTAGGGTACAATGTCGAGTTCTAGCTGTTCCCAAGCGTCCTTGATCGATGCCAGACCTTGTTCAATTGATAATTCTTTGGTTGCAGCGGCCGACAAGTTTGAGATGGACTCTGCATACTGATCCAGACCCATATCCAAGATTTTTTCCAAAGTGAAATCTGCACCACTCGGGTCAAATGTTTTGGCCACCTCATCCATGAGCTGCGACCAATGACGGTCGCGCATTGCGGGATTCTTCAAGTCTTGCAATAAAGGTAACGTTCGCCTTGTGTGTTGAACACGATCGCGTAGATGCACGAATACATCCCATTCCTTCATCTCGCGACCCATCCGGTTTAGACGCTTGATGAGATTCTGCACCGATTCGTCAACCTCCGCTGCATCGAGACTCAGGAACGGTTTTGTTCGCCAGCCCTCATAGGCATTATTCCACTCCTGGTAAAGCTGCCAAATTTGACTTAGCAGCTCCAGCGAGGTCTGCATTGCTTCAAGGTCCTTGGATGGTGATTGTTCTAGCTGGAAAACCGAGAGTCCCTTCTTCAGGTTGCGCTCGTTATTTGCCGCTATTTGTACGGTATTACGGTATTCGCTAATCGCTCTTAGTGCCTTTTCAACACCAAAGCTGGCATGGAAGGGCCCTTTCGCAGTAAATTCGTCGCGGATAGAGGATGTGTATTTTCCGAAATCTTCTACTGATGACAGAAGCTCAGCCTTGAACTTTGCTTTGGACTCCTGCAATGATTTTTCGGCGTCTGTGATTGTTTGCTGGAAGTTAGCCCAGCTGACAGGCAGGGTTTCCAACAAAGTCTTCTCCTCCGCTTTGATTTGAACTTCGTATTTTTCCAAGATCTCGTATTGCTCTCGAATTGGTCCGAATTGCGCTTCAATAGACGGCAACGCCGTTTGCAGCTGGGACAGAAGGTTCAAGCTTTCGCCCAGTTGGTCCAGATTCTTGGGAGGGGAACGGAGTCTCTCAGCCTTTTCTACAAACATCTTATGCAAGTTGTTGAGCTCTGTGCTCGCATTCGTGTTGAGCAACGTTGTAAGCTTGTTCTGCCAGGCGCTACAGTGGCTAACAAGAGAGTGCTTGAGGAGGGAGCAATCCAGACGTGCAAAATTAATGTTTGTGAGCGTTTCTTCCTTCTGGGTGTTATTGGCGACCTCGTTATACCGGTTAATATCAGCATCGAAAGTCGACAAAGCCGGCTTCAACTTCGCATACCGCCTAATAAAGGCATCTTTGTTGATCTCCCAAATTTCTCTGTACGTGTCCCACGTCCGGAGATATTGCTGGCATTTGGTTGCATTGCCAGACATTCCATTTTGGATGCTGACAAAGATCTTTAATATGTCGTCCTCGTTTGCGATGATATCGTAGAACTTCGGCTTTACTTGAACTGAGTCGGCAGCAAGGAGTTCTCCTAACCGAGGAACGACTTCAAGAGTTGATATCATTTCTCGAGCCACCTTGTTCACCGTTTCCTCCAAATGATTTAGCGTCGGATTGAAGTCGACGCGTTGATTTTCCAGCACAACCTTGACCTTAAAAAGTGGCTGAACCTCCGCACCGCCGTCTCGACTCTTTCCCTCCCCGTTAATAGCTTTGTTGATTTCCTGTAAAGACCGCTTTACTGATGCGCGGAGGGCCTCTTCCACCATACCATCAATCTTCTCAATGTACTTAACCCAGTGTCCATAGACATCTTTCCCATCATTGCGAAACACCTCATAAGTCATCTGCAAGGTGTTTTGTATATTCTCATGAACTGCAATGAGCTTATCCCGGACGATGTTTCTGTACCGATTCTGAGCTGACTCAAACTCGTCGAGCTCATATATCTTTTTACTTTCAACATACCACAGCAGGGAGTCTGCGATGACCTTGCAGTTGCGCTTAATCCGTAAGTTTGACTCTATAAAGTCCGAGACAGTTTTCTGGACATCTTGGGAGTGTCGACGGCATTCTTTGACAAAGTAATCTGTGATGCCTTTAGATGCCCAAGTGAGACTGGTAAGACCTGGATTGATTTTACGGTCCAACAACCGTATTCGCTCACGGAAAAGCAGGTGTTCCTCGGGAGATAAGGTCTCCATGATACTATTATAGTCTCTGATGACAAGTAGAACGTTCTCACGCAGCACTCGAAGCTCTTCCCGTTTACTGTAAATCTCCTGAATATGGAAAGGAATGTCCATCTTCAGTTTTTGCCAGTACGTAATCTCGGCAAACAGGCGTAGCAGATCCTTGTCAAATTTCATCTCCAATAGTCCCTGGCCGCGTCGATTCATCAGTGCTCCTTCGAGTCGTTGGCCAAAATCAGCTTGCAAACTGGCGACCCAGTCTGCGTGCGTCCTGGACACATAATCTTCGAGAGCCGCTGCGAGCGGCTCGTACTGCCCTTTCGCTTCGTCAGCAAGGAGGGTATGCGGAAGATAATACGCTTTTCGCAATATGTTCATCGTGTACGTGATACGTCGAAGCAATGAGCGCGCCCAATAGGCCGAACCTGCCTCATCTGGTTGAGATCGTAAGATTTCCGGGCTCTTGCGGTGGGATTCAAATTCTGATTTGACAGCATTCAATTCTTGAATGAAGAGCATGTAAATATCGGCGGTCTTCTTCTCCACTGTCCGTTTGATGGCTTCACGTTTCGCAAGGTGATGGAAGATTTCGAGCAGCTCCACACTGGTCTCCACTGTCGTAGCGCCTTCAAACGCGGACGTGATAGTGTTCTGCATCATGACTTCCAAGTCTTTCACTCCTTGCTTAAAGCTATTATAGTCGTCATGCCACCGCGTGGCCTTCACATCGAGAATAAATTTGCGGATGCTCCACAAAGTCGACAGGTGTCTCTCAAAAGCTGCTTCGATGTCCTCCAAGCTGCAATATCAGAGTTTAAGCTTCAGATGTCAGACTAGTTCTTGACCTCACGATTATCATACCTTTTACCAATTTCTGGACCCCGAGAACCACCGAAGAAAGGGATGGGAGCCTTTTCACCACCATTGATTTTCCGCGCAAACTGAATCTGTCCTTCACAGACCTCCAACAAGTCTCGACACCGCTGAACAAACGCATCGATCTGTGCAAAAATGCTGCTCTCGTCGAAGTCCCACCTCCCTTTTGAGTATTTGGCAATATGCTGGCAGGTTCGCTTGTAGATAGCTTTCCACGATTCGCCACATTTGATACTATCTTGCAGGCTGACCATACTAACCTGAACATCACCGTGAAAAATGTCTTCCAACGAAATCTTTGCACAACACCGACGGATGATTTCGTTGCTGACTTTACGCAGGAGACTCGTCAAGCGCTCCTTTGTGTTATAATACCGGGAATTTTCCCATATTATTCTGATGCAGTTAAGAAGCTTAGGCAAGATTGCAGGAATACTTTTCGGCTCAGTATTTGCCAAAGTTTGACATGGATCGGTCAAGGTTGAGAGAAATTTCAAGTTTTCCTGAGCTTGAGCCGTTCCTTCTTGAATCAAATTCGCGAGTCGAACAAACTGTTCCAGATACGATGATTTTGCGAGCTCGAGAACCTTTAATATCTGTTGAACATCACCCCTATTCAGCTGCTCGCTAATGCCTGACAAATCATCGCAGCGGCTTCGCCAGAACTGAATTTCCTCGATAGGTCCGGAATTCTCGGTCGTCTCCGATGCATGTTGGTTGTTCACGACTTCCTTGATTTGTCTCGTCCAATGTACTACCAGTGACTCAAGACGCTGAACGACATCCTTCATCTTGGCGCACCGTTCGGGATCAGCCACATTCTCACTAGGGACGTAAAGGACAGTATGTCCCTTCATTTGATACGCTGCATCCGTGAGGAATGCCATGAATTTGTGCAATTGATTGCTGAACTCCCTTCGGGCGCTTTCCGGCCATCTCTTATTATCGGAAAACATGGGAACATACGTTCCCTGCATTAATTGCAAGAGGCTCTCCATCGTGTTCCCAGATACAAACCCGTGCTGCACCTTTTGACTGAAATTATGATCCGTTACAGGTTCACCTTCTTCCGTGTGCGTCCGGATGAGATACATGAGCTCTTTCACCTTTCGTGGCGGGAGAGCGGCTTGCAGGTAGAGGGTTGCCGGCTTGCGATCAGTATCTATAAAAGCTAATATTTTCCTATTCTGGGACTCATAAAGAAACGATTCTGCCGCTTGGTTATGTTCCTCAGTCCATAGCTCGTCGCTATACCCATTCAACCCACTAATCAGCTCTCGGAAGCGTGCTAGCAGTTTCTCTCGACCAGCAGGAACAGCTGCTGTATTCTCATTCGTTTCGTCTTCCGCTGTCTTATCCGCTTCATAGCCGGAGATGTCATGGGATGGCTCGGCGGTAATGTCACTGTTCAAAGTATCGGTGGGGCCTTCGACAGCTTGCGGAAGTGAATCGCTTACATCCGGTAAACTCGATTCCTTTGCAATTGTATCGGACAAAGTTACTCTGCTAGCGACTGAAGACCGCGAAGATCGAGTGTCTTTGAGTTTAGTACTGCGTCGTACCGCGGATCCAGCCCGGGTTGAACTCGGACGTTCGGGGGTGAGAGTGGGGCCGGAGGAATCCTGTATGGGCGCAGGATCTGCCATAGTGGGCACACAGTTGAGGCAGTTTTGCTCACACTGGGTCGAGATAATATCTTAATGCAAACTCTGTGCGATTCAGCAGAAGGAGATCTGCTCGCTGTCAGAGGGCAGCGCGACGGTGTTCAGTAGCGCGTCGCTTAGATAAGCGTCCCGTGACCTCCGATCCCAACCACAAGTCTGCAAACCAAACGCTTCGGCCATTGGTTTTGTTCCGACTTCCTTCGTTCCTTCATTCCAGTAACAGATCGCGTCAATGATGTGTCGCGTTCTTGGGTGCTGAGAGGTTGGGAGAAGCGGCTTAGCTGCATATTATCGGTGTGATCAGGAGGTGCACAATGCTCCTGTTAGCATTCGGCTCGAATGCCCACGGCCAACTCGGAACCGGTGCGACGGACGATGCGAGCGTCCCAACAACTTGCTTGGTACCCAACTCACTTACAACTTCACCTCTTTGTCTCGCAGGAGGTGCGAACCATTCTGTCATTGTAACGGCAGATGGGAGTCTTCTTGCAGCAGGTGCCAATGACCGCGGACAGTTGGGGATCCCTGGAACAAGGGAGTTGCATACGTTTTCACCCGTGGCGATCCCTATCGTCTTCCCCTCTCCAGTCTTCCGATATGTGGCTTGTGGATGGGACCATACGCTCGCACTAACAAGTGATGGAGACCTGTATGTCTTTGGGTCGAACGAGTTTGGACAGTTGGGATTGGGAGTGGATACGAAACAGGTGGATCGGCCTATGCGATTGGACATAGGGACCGCAGTGGAGAAGATTGCGGCAGGAATGCGGTATTCGTTGATATTGACTCGAGACCAACAAGTGTGGGGCTGGGGTGCAAATAAATATGGCGAACTTGGCGAGATCAGCAAGCCCGAGACCATTAATGGGAAGGGAAATTTCCCGCGCAAACGTGCACCGTCAGTGTACTACCCGGCACGTCTCAATGTACCGCCATGTAGCGATATTTCCTGTGGCCAGCACCACAGTATTCTGCTCACCCGAGACGGCCGACTGCTGGGCCTCGGCCGAAACCGTCATGCACAGTTGGGCCATTCACCGGATACAATGCCTGAAACGCGGATACCAATCCCCATCTCGTTACCTGCAGACTCCCTTCCCATTGAACTTTTCTGCGGATGGAGCTTTACAGGTATCAGATGTAGGTCTGGACGGGTTTTCATATGGGGACGCAACGACCACAACCAGCTCTCAGAGGCAAATGATGAAATACTGTCGCGAGGGGGCCGAGCTCTCCAAGATTCAACCCATGTTGCGTGTGGATCTGAACATGGCATTGCGATCAATCAGGAAGGACGTTGTATGGCGTGGGGTTGGAATGAACACGGCAATTGCGGAGTCGGCAGCACAACGGACATCACAGAACCCACTGTTGTCAGAGATAGAGGCGTAACGCTCGTTGGTTGCGGATATGGACATTCACTCATTTATGTACATGAATAGAAAAGCTAGCTCAAATGTACGTCAAGAAATTGCCATTGCATTTCACCGACCATCCAAAGGAGCGGGCCGTACAACTCCAGCATGGCACCCGTTTCTTAACGCCGTCCCTCTTCTTTACCCTGGACGACTCGCCTGCATCATCGGATGACTGTCCTTTGCCGAAGCAAAAGTCACCTTGCGGACGGTGCTTTTGAAGGGTAAGTTTTCTTCCTAAAGAACGACAAGATGGACAAGGCACGCCTTTTATACCCGGGGACAGTCAGCAAAAAAAAATAATGTGTGGCTATGGTGGCGACATCACGTGTTCTATTGCTGACGGGACGCGTTTCAATGACATCACTGGCCTTCAACGACGACTTGCTGCTCTTGATCGTCCTTTGCACACATCCACATTCAACGACACAACTTTCACTGATTGAACCACAAGATATGCTTCGATTCTCTGCCTGCCGTCTTAACATGCGCTCAACGACGCTCCGTGCTATCCTTGTCCGCACCACTCACACAAACGCAAATCGTCTTTCAGCGGCAGAGCTTTCGGAGAAGTTGAATGCCACTGCAAACCCAAATGATACTATTACCGTCGACCTAAAGGCTAACCAAGAGATGGGAAGCAGCGGGTACACTGATTCAAGTTACAAAATAAAAGGTATCTGCTCTCTTCCGCAGTATGCTCCAAACTCTTGCTCAGAAACTCAAACATCAGTTATTCACAGTTTCCGACTTGAAAGATATTCTGAATAAAAGCGAGAGTCAAGGACCCGCCACACAGCCCCGCTTTCAGTACTCCTCTGGCCACATTCAATGCTACATCAATTCACATCGGTCATCTGATGTCGCTCAGGAACTAGTCCAGCGTGCTCAAAAGAATCCAGAGTATGTCATGCTGCCCTTAATGTTTACATGATCGTTGGGCCCGTATAACGACTGTGCTGTTATTTCCCTCTATGCGTTGGCTTCCTCCCAAAGCAGGTGCAAAGCGGAGCCTGTCGAACAAAGTTTTCAAGATTCAGAGTACACGGCTGCTAATAAAGATATGAGCAAGACAACAGGATCCTCGCAGCCAACTAATCTCTGAGGACCAATAATAGATGAAGGATTTCTTGTTTTCAGCTTATTTACTTTGTAAGATTGGGACACTTGTTACATGGTTATAACGCATGAGCAGGGTTGCGTATTTTCACAATACAATATCCATACTGTCTTCTTGACTACATGGAGCAGGAACGCGATGGAATCGTGCGCTGCGCCACGCTGCTTTGGACACACCCAACTGTGCACATTGATCTCTGGCCCACCTCTGAATGGTACTTTGACCACGCAACTTTGTGAACTGAGATAACCAGAGACAGTCCATCATGTCGTAAGTGAGCGGAGTCTTCACAATCCTCTGGGAGCTCTGGACACATTCTGATCTTGCTCTTTCGTCAGTTATTTCCTTCCGCATTTGCACTCTGGTTGGCATGTCGACCAAGCTATCCTCAACGAAGAGGAACGAGTGGTCGTGGTTCGATTTGGGCACGATTGGGTGAGTATATGGGAGGTACCCTTGGCAAGACAACATAGAGTGCTGGCGCACCATGGACAGTAGCACAAAATGTTCACCTGCTCGACTCATGCAGGATCCAACTTGTATGAAAATGGACGAAGTACTCTACGCTATAGCCGAGAAAGTTAAGAACTTTGCCGTAATATACCTAGTAGATATCACCGAAGTCCCTGGTACGTAGTATCCTGTCAGCCATTTCGGTCGGGATCTATCACTCAAGCCCCGTCCTCTGCAGATTTCAACAAAATGTATGAATTATACGATCCATGTACAGTCATGTTTTTCTACCGAAACAAACATATAATGATCGATTTGGGTACTGGTAATAATAACAAGATCAACTGGGCATTGGAGGATAAGCAGGAAATGGTGGATATTGTTGGTAAGTGGTAACAGTGGTTGATGATTTTCTCGAATATAAAGGTTGGACATCCGATTTATAATGTTATCTACGTACAGAGACAGTGTATCGCGGTGCAAGAAAAGGACGAGGTTTGGTCGTGTCCCCCAAGGATTACTCAACGAAATATAAATACTAGACAGCTTTTTGGAGATGCATCGATCGTGTACATACTTTTATATATTCTGGGGTGTGTCTGTCCATTTGCATGTATCACTGTTGCGGTACCTCCTGAAGAACGAATTCGGTTGTAGCGTGGCATTGTATTCCTCACCGGTGCTCCAAATATCTCATTCCCGCACATTGCATTCATCGTTAGTCGGCAGCTTCAGCCATATCTGATTCCCACTCATCAGCGTCATCGTCCGGAATTTCCCACCATCTTCCTCTTGCCCGCTTATGAGCCTTTAAATGCTCCATCCGAATCCTCTGCACGGGGATGTGTATATTCATATTGTGTACTGCCACTTCAAAGTTCTCCTCGGCGATATTAGCTGTTGTGCGTTGAATGTATGTGATATAAGAATCGATTTCACGAACCAGAGGTAGCACTGGAGTCGTGGTCGATGTATAAGATTGCAGGGGCGGATTTTGGACGGATGAGCTGGGGGGGTTTTTTCGCCGATCACGTAGCCGTGTGAGGATCTGTCCATAGATCGCATTGAGGTCCGCATTTTCACCCTTTTCATCCTCTACAATTGTTTCCACGTTTATCCTTTCCATCTTCGAACTTTCTCTTTTCCTCTCTAGCTTTTTCCTCTGGAAAGTCTTTCGTGCAAGGACACCTTTATGCCACCTCTGCAACACCTTTGCGGCCTCTTCTCTCCGCTTCCTTTCCCAACCGTGAACATCACCCACGCCCCTCACCATCCCCATTATCTTTTCCTTTTGTACGATTCTTTGTCGAGTCGTCAGCAGTTTTCGTCCTAGGTCTCGCGCACGTCGGCATTCGGCAAGATGAGGTCTGCGCTTGAGGCGAGTAAGGTAGCCTCGCACGTGAGCTTGAATTATAATTGCGCATTGTCTGTACTTTGCCAGACGCCTTCGAGCAAGATATCCTCGTACATGACGCTGAATCGTGACCGCAGCCGTTGTTGGGGACGGGCCGTCCATCAAATTCAAAAAAGTCCTGAAAAATAGCAGTTATTTCGAACTGAGGAGTGCGTCGATCAACACGTTTTGTAAGCAAAGGTGCGATGAGTCACACCAACCAGATCGCTAACTTTTCCCACTGGGTGACGATATTTTCTTTCGAGCGTTGAACGCAAATTCTTGGATATATATAAGATACGAGGCGACCGACGATCCTTGCCAGCTCCACAAAATGCCCTTAGCGTCGTCCCAACAGGTTAGTTTCGTTGTTTGCAAGTGGAATTTGGAGAGGTCAAAGGTTTCTTACAGATCTCATTTTCTTAGGAGCCCAACCCGTCTGCGTACGTTGCCATTGATCGCGATTCTCTTGATGATACGGAGAATGGCGCTCTCTTGCGCGAGACGGGAAGGTCTCAGACCCAGACATCTCGGGTGTGGAAGCTGGTAAGGGGGAGACCCGGCACCGTCGCTGCCCTCACTGCCCTCTTGTTGCTGGGTATGTATGTCGTAGCAGCGCTATATGTAAAACCTTGATTTAACATGATCGGGTATAGGAGTCTGGGCTGTTGTGGACATCGCGGGAAAGAGTGGTAGCTCACACCAAGGTCTGTTTTCACCTTATACTGGATTTATTTATCAAAGGGCCTCCAAACTGTATTACGAGCCCATCTACGTACGATCAGATCTCATTCCAGGTTCCATTACTTCGCGCAATGCCGCTGTATCCTCTGAAAATGTAATTTGCAGTGAGATTGGTGCCAACACCTTGCGACAAGGTGGATCTGCTGTGGACGCAACGATTGCCACTGGGCTGTGCATTGGTGTTACCAATATGTACAGTAGTGGTATTGGTGGAGGAGGGTTTATGGTTGTGAGGGAAAAGAATGGCGCGAGCAAGTATGTGGATTTTAGAGAAGAAGCCCCGGCTGCGAGTACCAGGGACATGTACGTTGAAAATCCACGATCGGCTCAGTTCGGAGGACTGGGCGTTGGTATCCCGTAAGTGTTTATTATAGCCAGTACCCCTGTATGCGCTGTCCTGAATCCTACTTCTGTGTGAAGGGGGGAAATTCGAGGTTATGAGGCTGCCCATAAAAGGTAGGTTTGAACAGCTGTAGGACGCAAGCTGAATGCGGGCTCAAGATGAATAAAAGATATGGAAAATTGCCGTGGAGAGCATTGTTCCAACCCTCAATTGAGCTGTCCATTAATGGCTGGACAGTCTCGCAGACCCTGGAAAGCCGTATCAAAGTGAGTTGATGCCTCCTTTATGTTATGAGTGGGGTGTTGTCCTTGACGATTACGGAATCCCAGGCGGCAGGCGATTTGATGCTCAACAACACCGCCTTCCGCGATGTGTTTGCACCCAACGGGCAGCTGTTGAGAAAGGGAGATACCATCAAACGAGAAAAATTGGGCGCTACCCTGAAAACGATTGCCGAGCAGGGTGCTTCGGTATTCTATGAGGTAACTTTTTGTCTGTCACGCATAAGGGGTATTAAGTCAGACTGATTGATCCGTATTCTACACATTTTGCAGGGTAAAATTGCCGAGAGCATCGTAAAAACAGTCACTGACGATGGAGGCATCTTGACGCTCAATGACATGAAGCAGTATCAAGCCAAGGTCCAAGACACGTTGATTGGATATTATCACGGCAGACGGATTATTACATCACCGGCGCCTACGAGGTGCGAATATTGGGTGCCCAATCTGCAGCTGTTTGACTAACATGGTGATTATTTATAAAGTGGCCCGGTGCTCTTGTCTGTCCTGAATATCATGGAGGGTTATGACTTGCGCGGTGAAGGGAGGACACCAACGAACATTCACCGGTATGGTTTCTCTTGGCGGGCTACCCGTTCGTGGTCTTGCAGCATCCAAGACAGATTGCTTATGATAATCTTGCTCTTAGACTCATCGAGAGTTATAAACACGGCTTTGCGCAGCGCAGTTATTACGGTGATCCAATTGACACGGTTTTCCGTAACATCACTGAAATCGCCGAGCACTTTACGGACAAGCAGACTGCTGGGCTAATCCGGCAGAATATCTCTGATGTATGCGGATTGACGCAAACAAAAGTTGGCGGTCGGTTACTAAATGAGAGCTATATCGTAGACGAAAACGTTTCCCCCTGCCTACTACAACCCTCCATTTGACGTTGAAGAAGATCACGGAACCGTGAGTGACGTGTTAGTCGGTAAGGCGGTGCCCACAAGGCTAAGTGAAATCTGCCTTTTTCGCCATCCAGATGCATGTCTCTGTTCTTGGTCCGGACGGGGAAGCCGTGTCAATGACCTGCACCGTAAATTTGTTGTTTGGTGGACAATTAATGGACCCAGAGACTGGAATTATTTTGAATGATGAAATGGTAAATGGAAAGATCGCGGCTTCTTTTAGAGCTGCCGTCTCAACGTTTCACACTTGTAGGATGACTTTTCTATTCCCGGTGTACCTAACGCTTTTGGTCTTGTCCCATCGCCATATAATTACGTCCGTAAGTGTCACATGCGGTGATTTTGCTCTACTTTGATCCATCGTTGATTTTCATCTCCAGAACCACGCAAGAGACCACTGTCCTCGAGCGTTCCTACCATAATCGAGCGTGATGGTCAAGTGGAAGCCATTATTGGAGCCAGCGGCGGAAGCAGGATTATAACAGCAACGCTGCAAACCATTTTTGACATGTTGGATTGGGGTCTTGACGCGGGACATGCCGTAAGCATGCCTAGAGCGCATCATCAGTTGCTCCCAAACACGGTACGGGGTTCAATTTTACAATCACATTTGGGACGCTTTAACTAATCTAGTTACAGATTGCGGTGGAAAATGAGTATGATGATGCGCTTGTCAAAGAGCTGGAAGCAAGAGGACATAATGTATGCAGTCTTTGTCAGTGTCATACCTTGTCATAGTTTTAACAATTTTTTTTTGACCATTAGGTGACAAGGTTGCCTCCAAAGTTTTACTTGAGCGGCGTGGAAGCTATCCGTCGCCTGCGCAACGGAACTATTCAAGGTGTGTAAAGGCCATGCAACTTGTTGGTATTGACCTGTTCTGAATGATATTTCTCCAGCTGCCGGCGACTGGAGGAAAGAAGGGGGCGCGGCAGGGTTTTGATCTCAATAGAATTTAGATGATCACAGCATGTGCTGTTGTTCAGTTCACAAACTCGTTCTGTGATTGTGTTCTGTGATTGTTTTGTGATGTTGTTTGTGTGTTTGGAAACTTGATATCCAACCATATGCCCATCTGCTCCCAAACCGATATGAAATAAAAAAAAACAATTGGCGAAAAGGCCTCCTTGTTGAAATGCGAAATCACCTCAACCACTGGCAGAAACTTCGCGTCTGATCACAAAAAGAAGGAGATATTCTAGTTGGTTGGCAAAAATTGGATTGTGGGGGAACGGGCCACGCGCTTCTAAAGGCTCTTTCTTCCCCACACTCAGCCTTTTGGGCTTATAAAAGGACAGACCTTTAAGCATTTCCCCCCCACACTTTCAACTCCACAAACAAGCAACTTCAGCCTCTCGCCTTGAAACCTGACACTCAACACACCATAAACCCTTCAAGTTTCCTCATCACCAACATGTCTTCTACTACTGCTCCCACTGACCTCGGTGTCTGCCCTTGCGGCGTTGGATGCGGCTGCAACGGCGCCCACGGAGCATCGTGCACATGCAACCGACAAGAAGTCAAGCAGAAGGCTGACGCTCAGAGGGCCGCAGCCAACTGCTCGTGCGGTAGCGAGTGTGTGTGGTACGTGGTTTCAGTCGCGCATGTCACTTTGCCATTCCATTCGTATACTCATTTAGAGTCGTATAATCTATAGCCCTGCCACCCACGATGCCTGCAACTGCGGTGAGGCAGAGCGAAAGGCTGCCCATCACTCTTGCGCATGCGGTGCATCTTGCAAATGCCCAGCCGGAAAGTGTAACTGTTAGGAAATCTGTATCGCATACCTTTACATGGCAACTGTCAGTCAGCCTATCGATATTCTCGATCGCAAGACCAAGAACGTTACTTTGGTAGCAAGTGCAAAGTGTGAATCTTGAGAGGGTCCTAGCTATTTTTTTTTCTTTTTTGTATACTGGCCCCAATGAGAATCAAAAATATATTATGTGCTTTATGCTTTTACTGCTGGAGCGAAATAGGTCTTGAAAAATAAATAATGTATTACAATGACAGCTGATTTCATGAAGTTTGCACATGTGGTTTCCGCTGTGTGAGAACATTTTTGAGTTCAGACATCATCTCATCCTTGGCGATGCGTTGGACTTTGACATGATTCTACAAATCCATTACGATTAGCAAAAGGTAACGAATCGTCAATATGTGTCCTCCATACCTTGACCTGTCTTTTGGCTTGTTGGAGCTGAATACGTTGTTCCCTGGTCAATTTCTAGATGGGATGCCACAAGGATCAATGACAGGTGACATTGCCGATGCCGCGTCAAATGTTACTTACGTTAGATGCTGGAGCGATATCGGAGATATCCTCCGCAGTGTCTTCATACAGCTCCTCCGGTCCTTCCTGCTGGAGGTTTTCATCGGGTATACTGTCGTGGACAGCTATGCGCTCCTTGTATATCTGCTCGTCCCACGCTGCCCTTCCAGTTTTAAGATCCGTTGCCATCTGCATATCATCATCATTGTTGCTACCACTATCAGCAAATAAGTGCTGTAAATTATATTGAGCTTCTTTCCAGTTGCAAGACGCGTTTTCAAGATCACGACCGATCGAATCAAATAACTGAGCTATTGGATCGAGCTGCAATTCATCGTCCATGTCTAGAACATTTGAGCTGAAGCAGACCTGCATTAAACGTTGGCGGACGCCGGTATCTTACTCTCAATATCTTGCGTGCATATCAGCAGTTTTGTCCTAATTTCCTTCAATCTCTGGTCAAGGGATATAGCACTAGCGAGATATTTTCGCTGTCGGTGACGCTGGCGATTTACTACCGCGCCAACAGCATGCGTATCCTCTGCATCGGCTGCAATTTCGTCAGAACGGATGCCTTTGGTAAACCCGAGTTAGACTGACGGTAGAGAGCGTGTACGGAATCTGTCATGCACTTACGCAGTTCCGTCTCTATGCATTGCGAAATCCTGAGACAACTTGCTCGCAAAGTCTCAGTCACTCGATCCAAATGACCGTTTATTTTGGTCCACCTCTGCCCACAATATCCAACGTCTGGTACCTGGTCAAATGGCGCAACCACTAGTACCGCATTCAGCAGTTCCACTCTCTGCAATCGCATCAGCTGCCAGTTGTACTTCAAGCTGCACAGAGACAATGAATCGGAATCGTCGGTAACAAAGGTTGGAACGGAGGGGGTAGGTGACGAAGCATGATCTGCGCTTCCGCTGAGCAAAGCAAGACTAGCCTGACTTGAACGCGATCGACTCAAAATATCGTCAATGACATGTCGAATCATAGTCCGCAACGCTATGCATCGCTTAGATTTTGACGACTGTTCAATGCGGGTGATGGGAGACAAAGCTGGGGCACTAGTTCCTATTTGGTGATGAATGAACAACGTGGGACGCAGATTGCAACCATAACAGATGTAACCCACAGTCTGTACCCTCGGGAAACCAATTCAACCTCTTGAACGTAGCGAATGGCTTTCCGAAGGATCTTGTCCAGTTCGTGAGAAGACTGAAGAAACGAACGAAGAGTTGATAGGCAGGAACGATGTAGAAGCCCGAGTCGTGTACGCGCCTAGCAAGGCAGGAATGTAAGGACATTGCGATGTCGTTGACTCTGTGTGGTGGACTAACCCATTGGGAACGTGTTGCCCACACAAGAGGAACCGAGAGCATCACAAGGAGAGCTGCCCCCGCGAGATGAGCACCTCCCCTTTGCCTCGCTAATATCGCTGCTCCAGCCCATGCGCTAGCCCCTCCTAGAACCCATAGCCCCAAAAGTGCACCAAACTCGGCGGATATGGAATTGGGCATCATTGCCCGACTGTTGCTTGAACTGGCAAGTCTTCCATCCACACTATGGTGTTGAAGCAGCAAGAATTCGTACACCTCTTCCTTGTATAATGTTTCAAAGACCGCATTGCGTGATTCCAACGAAGGGAATAAGCGACGAGGTAGATGCAGCGACTGGAATGATACTTTGGTTAGACAAGTGTCAAATATTGAACTTCCCAAGGCCTCTGCACCTTGAAAGAGACCCAAAGTTCCTGGGCCCAGCGCCTCGTTTGAGCTGGCTGACCTGTTTCCCAGGCGTCCGCTGGCGAATTAGCTTCTAAAACGGCGGCCCCACCTCCTTCGTTCTCCACCCCTATCCATTGGCAATCAGTTCACATGGCTCTAGAGCTAATCCTGTTTTCAACTAATCTCACACACATTCGAGATAATTTCCGAGCGGTGTATCCTCGTATACTATAGACTCTTCGACTGATCCTGTTTGTGCCATGTCCGTGCCATGTGCCTGCCCATCTAGCTCCAAATTCCAGTCCAGTCCAGCTATGAATGTGACAACACGACTGTGCCAGCATAAACCCTGAAAAGGTTATATTACGCTAATAACTCGCTGAGTCAGCCTGCGCACGACCAGGGATGCGTTTGGCGGGAAGTTGGACAGGCAAAACAAGTGTAGCATCGAGCATCGACAGCGATCAAAGCAAAAGAGCAAAAGGAATCTCAACACTGGAGCTTGAAAGTCTATCTGTACTTGGTCGCAGAGAATTGGTTGTGAACTACGCGTCCGTTACCCCGCGCGAGCCTCCTCTTGCCCTTTAACGCACGACGAGAAAATATGACTACCGATTACTTTGCATACTTGGAGGAGTATATAGCCAGTGCGTGTCCTAGGCAGTGGACGGTGCATTTCTGTGATATCAATATGTAAATTAAGATGTAACATCTGTTTAGCGATAGAGGCAGTTCCCCAAGAGGTACACTATACTCTCAACGAATTACGTGCAAAGGACGAGGAATGTGACGGTAAAGCAGACGTGGCTGGTGTTGCACGCGAGTATGTGTGTCTAAAGGTATCCTTTACTCCATAGCACTGCGCCAGGACATAGCAAGAGCGCAGATGGACTTTTACGACAAGATGGAGGAGATCGTTCGTGCTCAGGTCGAGCTTGCCAAACTGGAGGGAAAAGGAACGTCACGTCCTAAGCCCAAAGGAAAAGCGGTGATCCAAACGCCGCCAAGGCTGGAGCATACATTTGACTCATTTGAAGATGCGGAGAGAAAAGAACTGGTTCGCGATTTTCCGGATCAGCTCGAACTGTACGAAAGGATAACGGAAGATTTCAAAAAATGCAAAGAAATTGCAGAAGAGAAGGTTCAGATGGCGGAGAGATCCAAGGAATTGGTAAATTATTATATGCTCTGCGCTGTACTACAGTTTATTACCAGTGATTCGGTTTATTCACACAAAATACAGATCGACAGATATTTGAGGCGTTTGTCACAGGATCTCGATCGAATAAATCCTTCGGTGGAGGAGAGTAGTGCATGCGCGACAGTATCTGTTGTTACCGCAGGGCACGCATTGCGTGACCGAACTACTCCGATAAACAGCAGACGAAGCGCTACATCCCTATTCTCGTTGACTGGTGTGTGCAAAGAGCCGTAAGGTTCTGGACGCTTTCGCAATGGTATTAATCAGTTTTGTTTTAGCGACTGGCCCACCTGCCCGAGTGGGAGCGCCGTCAATAAGTAAGTACCCTACGCGAACCAGTTTGCGAGACACATGTTTACCCAGTAAGTTCGACGTAGAACGACGAGCTCTAGCGTCACAAAGAAGGTCGACAAAGCGTAAATCGTAAAGTACCACAATGTTTAATACGCGTTTTTGCATTTTTTGTTGATAGCATCCTAATAAGGCAGTGGTATTGATCTAGTTTCTGCTAAACCAGAACACCGCACATCTTCAACAGTCCGCTTTCGTCACCAAGATGGCGTGGTGCATCGCCTGATACGTCGGACGAGTTGGTCTACTGTACCTGTCAACAGGTGTCGTTTGGCGAAATGATAGCGTGCGACAATGAGGTGAGAGGCATTGCGATCACGTACGTGATAGGACGAGAGTTTAACAGAGGTGACCTTTGCAGGAGTGTCCACATGAGTGGTTCCATTTGGAATGCGTGGGCCTCAGTGCTCCGCCCGAAGGTGCCTGGATGTGTTCGACGTGTAGCTCAGAGAGACGCAAAAGAAGGCGCGAGTAGTATCGGCGATGGTGTTTTATGAAGCGAGATATTTATATTATTATATTGTGCAACCGCGGGCGATCAATTAGCGATAGCGACGCCTGCTTGGCAAACGCATCCCAGCGCGCAAAACCGATGATGCATCCTAGTCAATCAACCTTGTTTGCTTTTTCCAAATTTTCTATTGTCTATAATAAGTTATACATCTGCTACTCGAGCTTGCCCTTTCCTTTCCCTTGAGTCAAGCACATGGCGCGATGCATTCTTCGCGCGCTGTTCCACATTATCGTCAAGGGTATCACAATCCAGAAGGCGTTCATAAACACAAAGTAGAACCAGAAGTGGTAGGGAGAAGGAGAACAGTGAGGAGCACCTTCGATCAAGGTTGTAGCATAGTAGAGGACGTCTCCATATAACTGGCCAGTGGAAACCAGGAACTCGAGTATGGGGGCAACAGGAGAGTTGTTAAAGATCAAGTACGCCGTGAGGAATGAGAGCGGACCCCAGAGGAACTGGTTAGCCAAAGGAAGAAAAGAACAGTCAGATAACTTGCAGTATGAGGACAAGAAACACGCTTGTTTCCATCAGCTAACCGCAGTAACGCTTTCCATAACGACCACAAAAGAGTCTCCACTCATGTATCGCGAGTCGCTGTACGCATATTCCTTCCACAATTCTGCCAGGACGAAACTCTGCCCCGCAATTTCCTTATGGTTGTACGCAAAATAGCCTTCCAGACCCCAGTGAATAAAGCCGCAGGAAATAAACCAGAGAAAGACAAGCTTGCGTCCAAATGTCGTTTCTGAGCGTGAAATTATCGAGTAAGATGTCAGAAGGATGACGAGTACGGTGCTGAAAAAGATGGTGAGGATTTGCTGCATTGGCATGGTGGGGACTGTGTAGTGGGGAAGGTCGAGGTGAGGAGGATAGTACGGATGCTTGAGGGTAGTCATGTTGATCGCCATGATGCAGGAATTAACGTAGCGAACTCAGAAAGGCCGAGGCGATAGCAAGGGATCACGGAAGGAAGGCAGCAACAAGGTTTCCTACTTGTACTTGAGTTCAGCCTGCCATGGCACCCGACAAAGGCTTCCAACATTGCTCACGCCACTTGGACAAAGCAGCCCCAACATAGACCACTGTAAGCCGATCGTACGACGCGTCAAGTCGCGTCCTTTGGGAAACTTTGGGTGCGCTGATGCGCGGAATGCTTTTCATGGATAGACTATGTACGTGGTTTTAAAGATGAACTCGCGAGTGGTCTTTACCAAGCAAGCAATAGATTGAGTGCCACACTTTCTAGACTAGTTTACACTTGACAAACGCTTGCCCTGACTTGCAGGTGACGGTTTGGCCCGCCTATGAGTGGATATGGCCGGTAGCCCTCCAACTCCAGGAATGTTCACAGAAGGGAACACCACGACCGAGACCTCACTAACGATGACCATGCCCGCAGCGGTACCTAATTTCGTACGTGCTCCTGACTACCATGAAGGGAGGCTATCAGATAGATAGGAAACGATGCCTGTCTTCAACTCGTCTCTTTTTATGCAATCTTATTGCCCGCTCCACTGAGTCCTGCATTGCTTTGAAAGCCTACGACAGTACGTGAGAAGGATGAGATCCCGAAGCGTTTGAAGCGAAAGGCACTTACGGCAGACTTGGAAACATTGTTGGGCCCATCGCGGGAATCTTTGTCAAAGTTCCGCGCCTTATCTAATATGTCTTGCAAGACCGTAACAATTCTAGTTAATTTTTCCGTATCCTTTTCAGTTATGGCACTCCAATAATTATGTAGCAGTTCCTTAGCAGCAGCATGCAGGGCCATCGCATCTTTGGCGACTGTGCTGCTTAGTGCTGATTACGATCAATTAGTCGCTGTCCTCTGTCATATGTAAAAATGCACGCTCCCATACCTCGATTTCGTTGATAATCCCGCTTTCTCTTTTTCGTCAACGTATTTAATTGTTGTAAGATGCTGTCTCCACTCGCCCGGGAGACCGCAGTCTACAAATAAAATAAGACATTACCCACTGTCCTACACTCGCAGCCATTCGAGTTACGGGTACCTTGGATAGGATTGGCTCCCAATTCTGGACAGCCTTGCTAAATGTTCGTAAAAGTTGCTGAGTAGATCATTTCATCAGCCAGACGTTTGGAAATCAATGACTATGCTTTGACTGGACGAACCGAAGCGTTTAATTGTTGCCGCTCAACAGGGGTGGACGTCGACAATCCTACTTGCGACTGGAAGTACTTCGTCGCATCTGCAATTTCGAGAGCCTTTGCTATTGGTCCTTCTGCTGGTCTCAGGTCGTCTAACTCCGTTGACTGTAGGATTTCAGCATGACGATCTGCTTGGCATATGCCATCACACAGTCATTCTCTTACTCGCAAATAAACCTCGTCCGCAGTTGGTTCCTTGGTCTGAGTGCTTGAAGGTTTACTACACAGGAATGTTTACATGTCATTGTCATCCTAATTAACAGTACGATCAGCAACCTTCGTACATGTTGGCCTTCAGAACACCTTCGGATACGCGGTTGAATTGCCGAATTAATGGTAACGATGATCGTACGCCTCCTGCTCGCATCGTGGTATCTGGCCGATTGCCCGTCTAAACCATATTTGTCACTACTTCGCACATCCCAGCGAACAACGATCGGCATTCTTACCTCCAAATGATCTTCAGTTTGTGCTGCCAGATCTAGAAGGAGGTGGGAACTTTCGTACTTTGCACGCTTTGGGTGTACCGCATAGTCTGAAGGGCACCGCGATAGAAGGCTTCAGAGTACGTTTACATTGTAGACGTACCATCCAGTATCACAAACCATCATCTTCCTCTTCTTCATATTGGGCAAAAAATGCGTCACTTCCACTACTGCCGGGTCCACGATTTCGCTGATAGAACTTGGACTCGAGGTACTTGCGCATAAAAGTCTCTTTGGTCATCTAGGTTCATATTATTTTGTTCAGACTCGGGATCATAATTGCGGGACTTAGAATGTAAGCTGCAACCTTATTAGGAACATTGGCTTCGTATGCTTTTCTAACTGGCAAGCGAATCCAAGAGTAAGCCCATAGGAGCGTAGCTGGATCAAAAGATAGACTGCGGGATACAAACCAGGTGGAAATTGTGCCAGGATTGAGGCTATTACATCGTCGGTGATCTTGAATTTCATATCAGATCCGTCGCTATCCGTGGGACGGACATCTGCGATGGTTCCCAAAACCCCCTTCTTCTGATTCTTCTGCCATTTTTGGTACGTCATCAAATGCTAGACGGACTTTCTATCAGCTAAATGTCTTTCCTGAGCAAACAACACCACGGGTGTTAAAGCAACCTGACGTGTTGCCCAAAAGTCTTCTTCAGATATCAGGTTGCTCAGAACCAAAGTCTTGAATAATTCTCCCAATTCCTTATTGTCCTGCAGGATCGCCAGTCTAATCTGTCGCTCTTCCGCTGATAATGTACCGCCTTTGGGAACTCCTGCCCCAGGATGCTGCGGTGTTCCTGAAGCAGAGGGTGGCCCGCTCCCAGTTCCGGAACGTTGGCTGATGTGATAGGCTAACGTTTCTATAACCTTTTGTCGGTCTTTGGCCGCGTTAGTCGATAGGAAGGTGAAGTTGTGGTTGACTTCTGGTTGGCCATTTTGTGCCCATAAAGATACTTTCAAAATAACTTTCTCCGACTTATTTTGCGCTTGTGCTGCCAAGAGTAACATTTGGCACATAGTTGAGTATTGCGACTTTCAATTTGTCCTTCCCTGATAGTAATCAGCACCTTTTACAGCACTGTACGGAATACGCAGTTCAGGTTGCTCAGCGCCATCCAGTGTCCAGTCAAATTCGTGAGCACCCAGTGAAAGCTGTCCATTTCGCTTCTTATAAGAGACTGGACATCGGAAGCGTGGGCTCGCCATGTACAGCGTACTCGCGCCTAGCGCATGCAGCAATCAGAATATACGGGTCTGATGATCTACGGTGGAAAACGCCTTTGCCCTGCTCATCCAACTGCAGTATGGAAACAGTTCCAAGAACTCTGCAGGTCAAGTTGTCATTACAATGGTTCGAACTCCAACCATTGGAATCTCATTAAATGTTCAAGCCGAGATTATTGCAAGTGACAAGTTGCGACTCCAATGGACTCTCCTACTGACAAGAAAGACATACGAGCAAATAGCTGTTTTTGTTTTTTTCGATAATGTATGTTTGATTATTTGGTATAAGAGGTTGATAGGTATTTTGTTAAGGCGAGTCAAGGGAAAGCGTTGGGAAGGTTTTATATCGTTGAGGATCTGGCATCAACGATTATAATACCCAACGTGTTCGAACCCAATTTGAACTGGAAATGGTCAACGGGATAATAGTGCTGGCGTACTCATCCTGTGGGAGATCACTTCAATGGCCATGTCGTCGGCACGCTCATTGCCAAGATGCCTGGCAAGGGGTTGTAACGTAGTGTCGTTATGTTTGGGGCTACATGTACAGAAACGTCAGGCCCTCGGAGTGTCTACTCTTTCCGTCCGGGACGTCATGGGACACTTTGGCGAGCAGCATCGACTGTACATTCGAAGCACGCGGAATAGAATACTCACTACATCCCTCCCTCGACCACATTGCCATGCATCTTCCATACTGCCCTCAATCTCCAACCACGTACCTCATATACAAGGGAGGGATCTCGCAAATCTTCAAGAAAAGCAACCTTTACGAGAAAACAGTGAATATCCTCGTTTGAAGCCTCCAGACACCGAAACCTCGGAGAGTCTTGCAGCCAAAAACGATGATGCAATGGCAAAGGCTCGCTCTGCTCTAATGCCGGCGATTGCCCTAGCTGTCCATTCAAGGGCGGTGCTGCGGAGATCTGCAGCAGACGTATACTCGCACGTTGCCAACCACATTTTTCCAAAACTTAGCGATCTCCTCAACACCCTGACTGGATATAGCGTTGTCCAGGAATGCAAAAATCGTGTACTTGCGAAGGACAATGAGCTAAATGTCGCGAGGGAACGATCCGACATGGCAAAGCGGGCCTACGAGCAAACCATTGAAGAGAGAAGAAAATGCCAAAGAGAGCTCAATTCTTTGCTTCAGGTAGATATCTTTGCAAATCACGACTCTGATGAGGCTCACCACCTACCCTCGGTATGTAGACCCGACACGTAATGCTGATGCCAATGTCTTCCTTCTTTCCAGCGCAAAGATACGTGGCTAGATAGCGATATCACCCGCTTTACCGAGCTCTATCGCAAGGACTTAAATCTTGAGCAGAGCGAAAGCCAAGCAAAGCAAGAGTATAAGGACGCCGTGGAAGGATTTGAAAAGTGTCATAGAGATTATCTAAAGTAAGCAGACAACTGTTCTCTGCCGCGACTGTTATCTCATGTTTACCGGTTGTCTTCAAGCGAAATTCGTGAGCGTTATATAGAGGAGCAGCTCTATTCTGACAAAATCCGAAGAGCAAGTACCTGGTGGACTTGGTATGTTCTTATTCACTTGTCGTGCTACTCTGAAGGGTGCCAAAGGCTCATATTTTGGATCCTGTTAGGGGTTTGATTTCTTTGCATTTTGCGATATTCGTGGTTGTACAATTATTTGTGGAACCTCGAAAGCGGCGAATATTAAAAGAGGAGCTGGGCAATCTCATCACGGAAACGTCCGAGGCAGACCGAGCAGCGTTGCGGTCTCAACTCCAAGAGGAGTTCCAGCCTCTTATTGGAAGATTGGAGAGTCTTCAGGTCCTTGAAGAGGCCAAGCCAGCCATCATCGATCTTGGACCGCTAGTACTTGGTGGTGCTGAAGTAAAAGAGGGTGACGTGGCACGAGTACCAGAGAGCGCACCGGGTCTGTACCCCAAGGACCGATTATTTGCTAAGGGCGTAGCTGTGGGGGCCGTTTTAGGGGTGGTCTCTACGGTGCTATTATTTTTAAACGGAAGATAGATGAACTGATACCACGACAGAAAACTCCGACATCCATTTCACATTTATTCATCATGACTGTTAAACACAATCATAAAAGTCGCTGCGAGAAGTTCTCCAGCAACAAAAAATAAACCGATTGCGCTGAGGATGATGTCTAACATTGAGCTGTGACATTACAGATGGAATTGTTAAAACGTGGATGTTTGAGACTTTCAACCAGCAGTACGCACACGTAAGTTTGCCATAGACAATAATACAAATAGGCAAGTGATGATAGCGCAGTGAGAGTTGTCACGATAATCAGCAATGGTCTGCTTTCTCGTCTCAGCCTCTTGCCTGCGTTCAGAACGATTACAATGAATCATGCCCTTGCACTTGAGGTCATGATGTTGCAATGGCTGTCGTACTTAGATAGAATCGAGAAGCTTCAAACAATGCAAATGGAAAGAGCGTCCATATTTCGATTCCATGTGCACTGGGGGGATATGGCAATCTTGCTCCTGCACGAGGTCAGTATGAGAAGTTGCTGGGTACGACGGCTCCACCAACCTTTGAAAATGAGCAGGAGGAGAGTAGCAATCCAATATAGAATAAAATACTTGGTATGAAAGAATGTGACTAGTTGCATCCATAATGCCTTTTCGAGGCCAGTGATCAATCAGACCTTCGTATATCAAGTTACATTTGCTGTCAGGGTTTCTTACCGATCTCCCCCTAGTAAAGTGCGATTCTCCTTGATAAAACCACGCATATACCAAGAGAGATATATGAGCATGTTGATATGGATGCTGGTTGTTTCAACAAAGACGCTTACCTTCCGTTCCCATTCTGCTGCTTGCAACCGACAGCTTCGCGTCCGACGAGCGACGCGTTCGGACACGATTCGCTGACACTAGCCCATGAGTCACCACAAAGTTGCAACATTCTGTTCAGCAGAATGCTTGCCCGGCCCGTCGACCGGCTCCAATCGAGTGGCAGGCAAGAGTTTGAAGTCTCTCATGAGGGAAAGTTTCAAAGCTCGCTTCCACTATCCTCGTATGCCCTCGCAATCAGTCAAGATTGGTTGGCGTTCCAGGCAGTGACCAATGCCAGGCATAAAGTCATTCTGACTTTAGTGCGTCTGGCGGCTGGGTTTGACAATTGGACGGAGGGAAAACTTCTTATTGACACGCAACATCAAGAGCGCATTGAAGCTGCTTGCTTTGGCCAACGTACTTTTCCTTGCGTATTGGTGACGGCCTCGAAAGATTCACTGCGTTGTTTGAGGCTTCCGGCTGAAGACTGCTATGACCAGAAACTGGAAAGTGAGCTCGTCAAGGAAGACTTGGGTCAAGTGTGTCACTTGAGCCTAGATGCTGCTGATAAATGGATAGCCGCCACAGCTGGCAACCTGATCTATGTGGTTGACCTTGAGACGGGCAGAACCATATGCCTCGAAGGTCACTTGGCAAAGGTGACTGCGTCAGAGTTTTTACTGCCCGCAGAAGGCTACCCGCAATCAAAGGATTGGTTAGTTTCGATTTCCGAAGACCGCACCTTTAAAGTTTGGGACGTTGCCAACCGATGTTGCCTATATCAATCGACAATTCTATCACCTTACCCTTTGACATCAGTTGCAATCGACCCTGAGCATTTTCGCTGCTGTATCGGTTCTGAGGATGGCTTATTACGCTTTTTCGAGCTAACTCCAAGGAGAGGCAATGCTTGTGAACCCAGATGCCTCACGACGATCGATATCTCAAAAACGTTTCGCCAGATATCTGAAGAGACCTCCGTCAGCGAGCCCGTGCAGGATGCTGTAGAGATTATTAGTAGTATTCCGCGATGGCGTAGCAAGGTTCCCCGATCGGAGTCAGTGAATGCCGATGATAAAAGACAGGAAATACACTATAGCCCGGCGATTGTCGCTTCCCGTTATTGCACATTCCTTCCGAGCTGGGCTCAACGAAGTCAAGCATTGGCAGAAAGCGACGCATTGCGAATGGCAGAAGGAGGAGGAGTGGATCGAGTGAGGCTCATTGTAGGCTGCGTGAATGGCGCGGTTATAATTGACCCCGTTTCCTACGCAATTCTGTGCCGCGTGTCCTATCAGCAAAGTTACCCACCTTTGACATCTACGTCATCGACCCAAGAAGCCACTTTACTCCACGCTGGATTTTCAGGAACAGCAGGCGCATACGCGCTCCCTGCAAGATGGGCATCTCCCAATACATGCGCGGTTCTCGTGGGCAACAGTTTCAGCGGGGAGTCGAATCTAATTCTTATAAGAGAAAAACTGGAGCAGCCGCAACAGGCTTTGCCGGTATCTGATGGAACATTGCAAAGCGTTGTGCGAACTGCCGTGGAGCTGAATGTGCAGCGGCCCTGGTCGGACAATATCTTGCGAGATTGTTTAGTCCAACTTTCGAAATTACACATACGTAGTGTGGAAGACGTGAAAGCTGCTGGAGAAATTCAGTATCCTTCTAACATCCCATCCTATGTTCAAACTGCCCTCGCCCTCGTTGGAAAAGGGGACGAGATCAACATACAACAGCACAATGAACTAGCATTTAAAATTTTGGATTCAGTATCCTTTCACCCCTCCTCCCCCCTCAAGACCAAATCAAAACCTACCACCTCTTCATGCACTAACAAACCTATCAACGCCAAGGGACGAGGCAAAACGACAGGAATTGTTCAAAATAAGCCAGTCACATTTCACGCGCAAGTGAAGTCTTCAGGATACAGTGAGAAGTCTACCTCGAACAAGCTCTTTGGCCGGAAACCCGCTCCGCGCCCGGCCAAACGGAGAACTGATGCATTGGAGTTTCGATATCCCTGCGACTCTGAACCTCCAGTAAAGCCAGACAAACTCCCGCCCGTCGTAAACCATTCAAAACCAATTACTTGCGTCAAGTTTAACGCGAGTGGGTCCGCGTGCGCAACTGCTTCAAGCGATGGCACAGCCAGATATCATCGCACGCCGCTTTCCAGCGAAACACACATGAAGGACCTCATGGGACACAACGGACCCTTAACGACTGTTTCCTGGAGCCACTCTTCCACAAGTCAGTATGGGCAATTGCTGCTGACTGCGTCTTTGGACGGAAGTGCTCGTCTGTGGACGGTCAAGCAATCTGAGCCGCTTTTGGAATTTCGCAAGGTCTTGGGGAATCGAAATCCGAAACCCAAAGTACCCCCACTGACTGCTAAAGTGGATACTAAGCAAGCGTTTTCCAGCGAAATACGGCACACTCGCTTTTATTACAACGATCAGTTTATTTTGATACCGTCGGGGCCCGATTGCAACCTGTACACCTACCACCTTGAGAAACCTGACAAAGGTTCCGTTCGCCCTCAGCTTAACTACAACTGGTACAAATTGGCCTCGAAATTCAGCTCCTCAGCTCACAGCCTGACTGCCCTCGCATGCATGAATGCTAGAAAGTCGCATCTGATCCTAACAGCTTGTTCTGACAAGCAGATCCATGTATGGGATGTTGCCCAATGTTCTGTGGTCCGCTCAATACGTCAGGCGCAGACAAGAGTAATACATGCACTTGCACTTGCGGATTACGAACATCCACCCCCAGCTTTTGAGAACGTCTTTGTCAGCACTGCGGTGAGTTTATGGGGTCGCACCATTTCAATTTCTGACATAATAACTGATGTCTTCACATCAGGTCACCGACTCCATCAAATGCTGGGATCTCAGACAAGAAAGAGCCATACTGCATTTACACGGACACTGCAATCGTTATGCACAAGTCGGATGCGCCTTGTCGCCTTGTGGACGATATATAGCCTCGGGCTCCGAGGTAATGGAACATCTTGTTTCACCGGGGTTACAGGGAACCGTATATTAACCTTCGAATGCGACAGGACAATCATGCCTACCTTTATGATGTGCGGAAGAGCGCGGTTCTAGAGAGATTACCAGGCCACACGGATGTCGTATCATCTGTTGACTTCAACCCACTTTACCCCAAGGTTGCCACTGGCTGTCATGATGGCAAGCTGCGCTTATTTACGGCGTAACTTAATAGCAGTCGATCTGGCCAAGTAGAGAGCAAAACTGTGCCACTTGCGCGTTCCCTTTGGTGTTCTGCATCCATTGTTAGTGTATTGGCAATAACAAATGTCACAACACAATACACCAGGGAATAAACCAGCGATAACTGGTTCGGAAAAGCCAAGTACTTCCCTCCTTACAACCAACCAACTACTACTAGGCCCCATTACACATGCAATACATTACGGTTGTTCTAACCGGGTAACTAAGCCCACCACCACGAGAGAAATCCTACTAAGCCCTTGATTCCGAAATTCTTTAGTCGGAGGATGTTCAGATACTAATTAAACCAGAATTAGACTCGGAATATGGGCGTGGGAAAATACAAAGATAATGCATACCTGCAATCGTAGCAATATAGTAGTAGCAGCGTTTGCAAGGGGTTATGTTGTTTTTGTTGGGAGGGCGAGGTCCTCGACACCAGAGCGGCATTCTCATGGTGGACTTGAGACTTGTTGAGCAGATGCTTTGAGAGTCGAGGGTAAAGAACAAGATAGGGGGCAGATGAGGGGGTGTTTATATAGAAAAAAGAGGGGATACATTGAGTCATAACTGATGATATGCATGTGGCAACTGAAGCAGATGGCCGCAAGGGATAGTAATTGCAGTCATTCATGGCCGCATATTGGACCCGTTTTCTCATGATGGAGCATCTTTTGTGCATAGTTCATTTGCCTAAATCGAGGGAGGCATCTTGCATTTCATTTCATTCGATCCAGTGGCTGCATCTCTCTGCAGACTGATAGGCTTCCATTGTTATGTGAAATGCACAGACTGCAGGACTGTAGCCAGCAAGAGCAAGTCAAGTTGGTTACATTGGCACTCTCAGTCCCGTAAACCGCCTCGACTCTGACGGACAACACCATGGCTAGCAAGCCATTTGGAGTTTCTTTGTGTCCACTCGTATTCTGAGTCCCAGGCCCGGAATCTGATCGCATGACTTCTTCCGTCACTTTTGCATCAAGAATTCCTTTCATGAGAAATGCACTTTCTTCTCTTCCTGTACATGTCGGTTGCCTCAGTACTATTCCATCTTCCATGCGTGCGCGATTTCAATTCACATTATTTGCGTAATCGTCCGTCTGCAGCTCTTTCTGTTCGGTTATGACTAACTCCTATTGAATACAAGTTGACAACATATACAATAGGTGTCGTATTAATTCCTGATTCAAGGACGTCTTGGGTCCCCACGCCCATCTGCTCCCTTTCATTTTACATTCTTTGGAGACTAGTTGGATGCAGTTGTGAATATTACGCAGTATCTTTGAATATCTGCCCCTACAGCGAGCGCCAGATTGACAAAAGAGTGGTCTTGGTTATGTGAATCTGGATGAATAATATATTGTAGAAATGGCAGCATATCACCACGCTGCTATGATCTTGCATGTTAACAGGTTTTAAAAGTTCCGTCAAAGAGATCAACTTAAATGACATGTTCCTTCCCTCACAAGTGTCGACGGGAGCTCCGCTCGTGGCAATTGAACAGGATGGCACGGAAAACAAGTGGCATGAACAGATGACTTTTTTCCAGCTCGCAACACGACGCAGTACCTTTTAATGGTCAGTTTTATTCTCACTGAAGGACAGAATGAGCAAATCGACGTTTATTTCAACCATTCAGAGACTTTTCAGCTATTAAGCGTATCTGCAAACATTGTCACTGCTGTACACGTAGCTGCTGAACTTTATCAGCTTCAGCTATGCAACGACCGTAAACCCTGTTCAATTGTGGGAAGCGATTGAATGAAATATACCAAAGGAATCGGTAGTCATGACGCTTAAGACATACCTCTGTGCTCCGCTGATGCAATGCTGGAGACCTTTTCCGTTCTCACCATAGGTACTCTTGCATCGAGAAATTGCAGTTTCCAGACTCATGTCGCAGTACCCGTGAGCTGTGCACGTCACCCAAAGTAAGAGCATGAAATCAGAGGATCCATAGATAAGGTATATAGACGTCCCACACTTACAAACATCTTGGTGTGCATATGGCACATTATGATGTGCACCACAAGTTTGAACGGGTTGCACGCGGAGAAGGCAAATACTAATGATGAGCATTGTAAGAAACCTTATGCGCAGGTCCATGACTGATGATGGTATAAGGCAACGGGGAAAATGTCAACCACAGCAGACAAACAAATCTCTGCGACGATTTATATTTCAACCTGAACGTCAAAAGAAACCAACACGGTTTCATCGTATCATCCATGCAGTCACCCGAAGTTTGAGAAGCAGCGGGCTGAGTGCTATGATCTCAATAATCTATTACCCAAATTCCGTTTTTATGCTGGGCATACCGATTGACAGGTGCCTGCAAGTGACGTGGCAATCTGGGCTGGGTCTCAGGTACTGCACCATTCATTCCCTGGTCTCGGTAATTGGCGGTCTAACAACAAGAAACCATGGCATCTTTCTTACAATAAATGTTATCACAAACAAGATGAAATGAAAGAAACTAGTCTGCTACAAAAGAAAAAAATACATGGAATGCTACAAGGTTGCGAGCTCAGTATGGTTTAAAATCTCTACCCTGGCTTTCGTTAGCACGTCGACGATTGGCGCCTCGAAATTTGCCTCCATATCCCCCCGACCCTCGCGAAGACCCACGATTGGCCGAGACATTGCGACTCCAGCCAAGATTCCCAGCGTGAGGTCTCCCACCACTCTCACTGCCCGCCGCTCCGGGTGGACCATAACCTGATCTGTTATAACCGGCCTGATTGCTAGCGGGGGTTTGGTTCCATGATGTCACTCCGGGCGGTGCAACGGCTGAACCAGTGTATCCACCTTGGTAACCTCGGTTCTGTTGGTAACCAGAGTTCGCATTAGGAATATATCCTCCTCCGTACTGGAAGATAGACAGCGGAAAGTGAGCCTCAATGAGCCACGGTTTGTCGCGTATCCAAGAAAGGTAATCTTACCGATGCTTGTGCTTGATAGCTTCCATACTGTTGGTTCCCTCCTTGTTGATATTCGCCGCTACCACTTGAATACGGTTCATATCCGCCGCCACCTGCTCGCGTGGGTAAGAACGGCGCGGATGACTGAGACAAACTAGAGAACACCTGAACCTTACCCATATACGGAAGTCCGGTTCCCGAGTGTTGATTTCGGGAATCGTAGCGCGATCGCTTATTGTCATGCTGATAATCATTGCGTCGCCCATCATAGCTTTGGGCGCCGTTATCGTAGCCCTGTCGGCCAAAAGTGTTGCCTGCCCCCATACCGTGTCTACAAAGAGTCCATAAATTTCACCTTTTACAAGGTAACACAGGTGCACACACTAAAGTACCTGATGAAACGACCGGCCGCACCCCCTCGACCACGACCACGACCACGACGACCGTTGTAACCCATACGAACCGCATATGCGTCATTAGCATCAAGGACTGGACTAGGAAATTGTGCCCCTGGTAACAATTCAGCCTTGAAAATATGGCCAGGTGCTACTTCGGGCATGTAATACAGTACGCTGAATTCAGGGGTGAGAAGATGCTCTAGACTGATCTGAACTAATCAAGGACTCACCTAATTGAGTGATTGTTACTGATATCGTCCAGACCATAGGCAGAGAGAGGTGATTCGAAGGTGCTCCCAGGTAAGCAGGCGTTGGGGTCTGGCAAAACGGAACCAAAAAACTTCTGGCTGAGCCTCGCATCAATTGGAATTGGCTGCCGGAAGTATTCTGTCAGTCTGAAGCCAATACGAGATTGCAAACTCGAGCTTCTCACCGTTTGCTCCGCTTGTCTACCGTAAAGAGAACAGAATGGTTCAAACAGACCATGACTACCTCCGACCACGAGGACTTCATCCCCTTTTGAGTTACGCTGCACTTCCTCTTCGGTCAATAGGTGATACCTTGTTTCTAGCGCTTGCAGCAGCCTATTCTCATCGATGAAGGGCAGGAGAGCGACGCCTGAATTTATAAATCATAGATATTTATTTGTGTCCTGCGGTAGCCATAACTTCTTTTACGAATTACCTTGCCACGCAAACTTTTTTCCGTTCAAGTCAATCGGGAATTTTTCCGGATAAAAATCAATGATTGGCGAATCGGAATCGGTCATCAACGGTTGGAAGGCGGGCGGAATGTGCTGTCTACTGTAAGCAGGCAAGACCCCCATAAGTTGTTCAACCGGTCGAAAGGGTGTGCCGAGCTCGAAGACGATATTGAGCTCTCCAATGAAATCGAAGTCCGAGGCAAATGGAGCGTAGTGGTACGGGAAATACCATTTCCAAGATTGGCAGCCTTGATAGTAATACTTCAAAACCCAGCATAACCCCTCAACGTACGAAGTCACCACTCTAAAGGGTTATCAATAAGAAGATGAGCTTGTGCAACATAAAGGTTCTAGCACACGTTTTCAGGATGTTCATACCTTCGACGGAAAGCGACGTCCGTCACTTCTACGTCAAATTTGTTTTTATAATACCGCTGTTTCCACCCCGATTCCCATAGTCGAACATCGTCATAGGGTTCCTCTTCCTCTCCAGCTGGCTTGTGCGTCGGAGGTTCGTGTGGAATTGGCACATCTGCGACAGTCATTGTCTCCTCTACTTCTTCCTCCACCTCCGGCGTTTCATCTGAACCCTCCCCATCCACCGCACCGTTTTCATCATCAATTTTTGACTCCGTGACATCCTCCTCTGAATCAGATATGTCCTGAACTTCAGTGGAAACTGGAAAAACAGCATCCGTAGCCTCATTCTCAATGGAATCCGCTTTCCTTTTGACTCCTGCATGTGTTTCAATAGCTGGATTGCCTGTGACATCCTGACCTGCTCCAGTCAAAGCAATCTTCAAAGCTTCTGCTGCAGCCTTGTTTGCATCCCGACTGGGGATCACAGGGGGCTCAGGTTTCCGTCCACTCTGCAAGGTTTCCAGTAAATAATCTGGAGGTGTTTCAGTGACAATGGCTGGTGGTGCGTCCATGCGCTCATATCTCCGCCTTTCGGCTTCCTCCCGCTCCCTATTACGACGGTTCCTTCCCTCCCTCCTCCGTTCCTCGATATGACGACGTTCTCTAAAAATATCGTCCTCAACCTTTCCCAGGTCATCCATCATCAATTCTACTCTCTGAAGGTCAATGTCCCCACTATTCGTCAGATAACTTCCCCATTTTGGTAGATTCTTTCTCCACAGTTCTATTAGTCTATCGATTGCACCTTCACGGATCTCCAGTGAGGGTAAATGAGGGAGGAAATCATTCCCAACAAAGAAGCAGAGGAAAACCCAATCATCGATAGCTCTCTCAAGGTCCCATGCGAATGGAAGATCTGGAGATTTCAATTCTATTTCTAAGTATTCACGTAGAACGCTCACATGTAAGAACACGAAAGGCTTTTGTTCAGCGACTTTTCCTTTCTCATCAAATTCGCCAATCTTCTCTTTTTTCTTTCCTGAAACGGTATTTCAGCTGGCAGCATGACGGAGAATTAGATAAGACATTGAAACCAACCTGTGCATTCATTAGCCTGATGCCCTGTCTGACCGCAGATGAAACATCCCCGATCTTTCGCATCATTAAAGAACACATCCTCTCGCAGAATTTGGAAATTTGGTTCATGTGTTGCAAGAGCAAGCATGATCAAATCAGCGTCCAGACCATACAAAACGTGGTGGGTGTTGGGATCGTAGCCAGTCTGGCCCCGTTGCCTTCGTATATAATCCATGATCTTATGCTCTCCTTCACCAGGTACACTAGCATCAGATAAGATCACTTTGAGCTAAAGAATAAAACTTGTATCAATACAGACAATGTTTCCGCAGACCATTTGAACCTAGAAACGTACGTTTCTCCATCCAGGATCCGTATTTAAGCGATCTGCTATGTAATATCGCAGAGCCACTGCCAGGTTCGTCATAAACGGGGTTCCAGGAGTAATACAATTTGAATCGAAATGTTGTTTCTTTTCGGTCTCTGGCATTTTGTCACCAGCGGCTAAAGAGAAGTGAGTGAGATGGCCCCGGTCGTCCAAAACCAAGTAAATCAGACCTTCCCATTCCTTTCTTATTCTTTCCTCCTCCTCTTGTTGGATTTGTGCCTCTTGTGCGGCGCGAAAACGCCGAGATCGCTGTTGATTCATTTTCGCTCGCGGAGCCACCCCATCTGGAAAAAGGATAAGGTAGGGCGAGAATGAGTGAGCACGAGCACCACATCTACACAAAATTGCACCGCATTTCGTACCAATTGCCATGTAAAGGACCTTCCTTGGCCTTATCATAGCCATGATGCGATCAATATATTTGAAAATCTCGACAAACATCTCCTCTTCTGTCGCGGGTGCCGGTTTACCCTCAGGATGGCAACAAGGATGGATGATACCATTCATATCCAAGTATAGATTATCAAACTCCACCCCGTTCGGATTGACTTTAGAGGCGTCCACCGGAATGGTATGACCATTGATCTCCCGTGGTTGTTCTTCGATCACCTGTGAGGTGACTTTGGGATACTTTTGAGAGAGCCATCGAAAGAGCGCCGGAACTCTGTTTCGTAAGTTACCAACGTTATAGCCAAGCTGTGATCCACCATAACCGTTTCAAGAATTTGCCCTAAAACAACCCTTAGTAACTTACCCCATGGTGGAGGTTGCTTTCAGTCCTCCTTGTTCAAACAAAAAAAACTTGCGACCAGCAGACCGTCCGAGTTGTCAGGCACCAAAGACAGCAACAAAGACAAAGTGTGCAATGGTTTGTCGCAAACGATTCAGCAGTTTTGATCTGCTCCCACGAGGTGGAAAACGACTGAAAGACGAGTCCTGCAATACACGTGACTTATTGTACACGTGACCATGAATGAAAATGCGCGACGTAGTAAAAACAAATAGTTCGTCTAAAAGCTACTCAGTGTTGTATTTCGCTACAGATGACACTTTCCTTGTCCAAAATCACTCGTCCTCCTCTTCCTCGCTCTCATCGTCGTCTTGGCTCTTTAACCAGTTTACAAAAGGTTCCATCTGCTTTACAAACAATGTCTTCCCCGATGCACCAGCTCCCTTTTCAAACCAGTAGATGATGGCGCTTTCCGAAACAACATCTTCATCATAAAGATATCGAATAATAGTCCGGTAGTGCTTTTGGAACCGTCCATCTTCATAGCACATTTGCTGGACCTTGAGCATGAGACCAATTTCTGTCTTTGGGGATGTGCAGAATACAGCTAGAACTTTCCCCCATGTCTTTCAAGAAATATTTTAGCTCATATGCAGGGACACACGCTCCGTTGCCGCCAGACTTACCGTGAGCGTCGTCTTGATCTGACTTTCGAGTTGCTCAGGGCGGCCGGCCCATTCTACTGAACTTATCAGCGCATCCCACATGATCGGCACAACATCGGTCTCGGCCCAGCTGTTGACCGCGATTTGCTGCTTAACATAGCCTGCGGCCTGCGTGCGGAGTGCCACTTTGGGTTAGCTACGCTATATCATGGACAAGCAAACACATGTCCAACCTCCTGTGGGGTGCCGGATGAGAACATCTCGTTCAACTTTGATTTCACTTGCTCCTTCACGGCCGTCTGCTGGCGCTTGTTGAAGTAGTCTACAAGTGGCTTCAAACCCTCCGCCTCGAAATGGCGAGCAACATACTCCGCCTGGCGTTTGCCTGGAGGAAAAAACTCGAGCAATTTGTCATCCAACCCTGCCTTCTTAAGAATAGTGCTTAGGTGGTCAATGGGCTGGTCCTCCAGGTAACTCCTGAATACACCAGTAACAAACTGCAAGGAAGCGCCTAGAGGGTCGGCGTAAGTGTCTGAGCAAGCTGATCATCATGTGCATTTATTCGGATTTACCGTCTTTGACCAAATGCTCTTTCATTAGGTTCGTCAGCACCGATATCGGCAGCAGCTGGATGGAGATCAGTCTACCGACAGCTCTCGAGAGCTTGTGGGAGTTTTCGCCAAATTTATTGACATATTGAAGAAGGTGCGACATACACTCTTCGAGTCGCTTCTGCAGATACTTGTATCTACGAGTCAGCTTGCTGAAGAGTATCCCAGTTTCCCTTTTAGTTCACGCGCGATTTCACGATGGTTACGTTTGTCTAGAGTACGCACTTGATTATGTCCACCCTCGCTCGGACAGCCTCCTTGGAATCTTCGGCTGCAAAAATACTGAAGGGGTTCCTACGCGGCCCATCCTCAACGATTCCCCCGGGTGCTGTGTCACACAGTCAATAGGGCAATCCAATCATTTGTGTCAACACGCAAACGTCAAAAGTAAGTCCTACCTATGAGTCCTCCAACAATCAGAAATTCAAAAAAAGGTTCGCCGTAGCGTTTGTAATCGACTTTCGACTCATTCAGTTCCAAAATAGAAGCGTACTTTTCGATCTCAGCTGGATCCTCGGGGATAATCTTCAATAAAGAGTCTCGGAAGGCCTCTGGTTCATACTTTGTTACAGTTTCTCTCTGAGCGTAAAGAGAGGACAAGGGTAGCGTTAAAATCCAGTTCGTTCGCAGGGATCAAGCACTTCATGCTGAGGCCAGCCAGGAAACAGCGTCACTTTAATGTCGTCATCAGGATACCTTGCGCTGCTTGAGCTTAAACTGAGGTTGCGGCGGAGGGGGTTGGCTAGACATATATATTCAGTTCCTGCCTGCTTTCGTACAATCGCGTTTCGATGGATGGCAGTTCCAAATGTACAAAACGATGAATCCTGTGGAGAGATGTTTCCAGTCCACAAGTTGACCGACGTCAGGAAAACCAAACCAACATTCCATCCGGCAAATATGCGCATGATGACTGTACAAATCGTATATCACGTGCGTAATCATGGTTCGGCAACAGATCTTGTCGTTCGCGCAATCCTTTGCGCTGTAGATTTGTACATGATAGTAGTCTATGCATGGATGTGCGCAACGTAGCCCGGCTTTGTGAGCTGTTCCTGCGATATCGGCGCCCGGTTGAGCAAATCGGTAACCAGATATTATGATTGAAGCACGCTGTTGCCAGATGACTTTGAGGACACACTGGCCGAGGCCACCAGGGTTGCGCGAAGATCAAAGTGCATTGACATTTAATTGCTTGCTATTTGGGAGTTTACATATTATGCTACTTATAGGAGATGTATTTGATTTGGCAACGTCTATTTCTTGCGTTCCAATAATTATTAAATTGAGTTTAATGCGTTTGCAAATATTTTCAGCAATGTGTCGGGATCCTCCAGACCGACACTGACACGGATGAGGCGTTGCGGTACCTTGTATTGCGCTGCCCAATCAAGCTCTCCATAATGTGCCAAAATTGTATATGGACTTGCCAATGTGAAGTTGGTTCCAAGACTTGGTCCCTTGGCAACATCCAGGGCGTCATAGAACCGGACAGCAGCGTCATCCGTATGCAAGATGAGCGAAAATAAGCCTCCGTATCCGTACCGCCCTGATTCATCGGGTCGCGCATGCTGGTGGTACAAATCGGAGTCCACGTACTTGGGATAGTGCACTTGAAGCACCTTCGGTTGCGAGTGCAGAAAGTCGCATAATATCTCCGCGGTGTCGTTGATTCTTTTGATGCGCTGTCCAAAGGTTCTTGAATTACGTTCCAGGAAAATGGCGTCCTCACACCATACATTGTCTTGATATAACTCCTTCATCCCCCCTGCGAGTTCCTCGTGCCATCTTGATTTCGGATTGATCACAGCACTAAACGTGTATTAAATTTCACTTGCCAATCCTATTTGAGTCACATCTGGCGGTCATCTCACCTTCCTCCCATAACGTTGCTGTCTCCACTAAAAATTTTGGTTAAGCTTGACACCACGATATCCGCCCACGTCATCGCGTCAACATTTATGAAGTTGCCAACGGTCTCATCGACTATCAGTAGGAAGGCGTGCCGATCGGCTAGTCTCCGTAGACGCTGCAAATCAGGGGTTCGCAAAAGTGGGTTGCTTGGAAACTCGCAAAACACTGCCGATATTGGCTCAGACGGAAGTATGGAGTTCTCAAGGTGATCAATTTCCGAGGATTCCCCAAGCCCTAGAAAATGACAGCCTGGTCCGAACTTTTCTTGGATTTTAAGACTATCCAAGTATGGAAAGCTATCAAAGGTTCAGACAGGTCCCCCGGAAATCTTAAGAAACGCCCGCATTACTTACCCGTATTGAACGCTTTTTTTATTCGGGTGAATTTTTCGCACTATGCGATGTGCATTATAGATGGCACTCATACCAGTTGGGAAGAGGTAAACGTCGTTCTCTGCAATGCCGAGAATTCCCCGCCCACCTAGATTTAAAGGGACATCCTCAATAATAGAGGTGCCAATCTCGTTGACCCTTGATGACTCGTTGTCTACATCCCCTAGCACGCCCGCGATTCGCTTCTTCAAGCGTTGTTTAGCGTCGTCAGCTTGCCGTACGTCCAGATTGCGCCCGAAGCGTTCCTCAACATACAAATCTTGCTCATTCCGAACTGCTTGTCCTTCCGCCGTAGTAAGATGCTGTTGCTGTCCTTCAGGCAAATACGCACCTTTTCTATACCGTGCATTTCCCATTCCGCGAACACCCGGTACTGGTGCAGCAAAATCCTTGGATCGGTCGTTAGCATTTAGCACCCGAAGACAATGTTCGGCAAAACGCGATGATATTCCCTCGCCAGAATGCTGCCAAAACTGTTTTGCGATGCCTTTCGCTTCACAGGGAAATAACACAACGTAGATATGGAATGAGGAAACAATGGAGGTACTTGGATCGTCCGACTGCGGGGAATACGGGTTATGGGTTGGAGTCACTGCAAATTCTGCTATGCGCACAAGGGAGCGTCGGGTTGGTGAGGAGGAAATATTTGGCCGAAATGAGATCGAGCCAGATGCAGGAGAGCGTACAGGCTGAGAATGTGAGTGGAGGAAGTCTCTGCATTCTTCGGCCACCCGGCGGCTAGGAAATACAAGGCAACTTTCCGTGGATTTGGCAAACTTTTTCTCGCATAGGGCCATAATCTTCAGAGCAAGATCACTGTTACCCAAAAAGAGCGTTCGCCACGGAAGTGACAATGCAGAGACACCCACCTTTCGCACTTGTTCATGATAAACAAAGCGCGGGTATCCACTTCGCAGGACCGAATGCACCCGCTCGTCGCCTTCTTCGTAACCAACGTTGTCCCGCCATGTTGGCAGTGTGACCGATACAGCTGTTGGTACAGGTATCAAGAACTACGGTAAACCTTGACTTGTTCACAAACAGTATGTCCTACCGTGTGGAGTATTTTCCGGAATGGGAGTTCCGAGAAGGGTTGGATAGGCACGTTTCGCAGATGGGCCAGAAGCCGTCGGTATCGAAGATGTTCCTCCTATCTGTGCCATTTTTGTCAATGCCAAAGGAACGAACCAAGAACGATCTACCTTTGACAAAATCAACCAAAGGATTGCGAGATCCTCGATGAGTCAGCTGTGGCTTAGTAAGCAATCCAGCACAAGCAGCACAACCGCCATATTCAACGACGTTACGCGATTCCTTCTCCCAGCAAAGTACGAACGTACGCCGAGGTACCAGCATTAGAACAGCCTGACTAGTGTCCGTACGGATCTTCAGAATGGCGGTCAAATTCATGCTTTTGGTGTCTCGACAAGGTGACATCGATGCGCGGAGGTACTTGCGATTCCCATTGTTTACCATTCTCGGAACTTGAAAACTACAGGCAAGATACGCTTGACAAAATGGTTCACATCAGACTGGACAGCCAAAGAAAAGGCAAAGACTGTAAAAGACGTCAGTCAAACAGTTTTGGGACGAAAAACCAAAATGTGCAACGTTCTCGAGTACAAAGGTAACGGAAGTACGTCGAATCCACCAAAGTTCGTCTTGAAATAACACACCTTTGAAGATTTTAAGGTCGTTTACAGAAGGTACTTAGAATGGACGTCTACTATCAGATTGTATGCGACTGTTTGGCTGATGGCTGAATCTCAGATATGCGAGTTTATTCTTCATAGCCGGAACCGACTTGGATGATAATGAATTGTTGACACTGGAAATTATTCACCGATACGTGGAGGTGCTGGATAAATGGTTCCTCAACGTGTGCGAGCTTGATATCATATTCAACTTCCAGCAGGCGTACATGATTATCGGTAAGTTCCAATACGCTCATCAAGAAGGACAACTGAGTTGACCCGTCCTTGACGTTTCCGTACGTAGATGAGCTGTTAATTGGGGGGGAGCTTCAGGAATCAAGTAAACGATCTGTGATAAATACCCTCAAACGTATGGAAGAGGCAAGTCTTCGTCTCACCTTGTTCAGGTCCCGGATCATGTCACTTTGTTAACTGCAGCAAACAGACCGAAAAGCAAGAAGCAGCAAGTGCCTAGCCAGCAGGGCGGTCATATATCGACCATCACCAATGACACTTTTTTGTTGAACGTCTAGAGCAATATTTTATTCTTGGCTGATAACAAAATTTGTGGCAAGACGCTGAACCGGCAGGGCGTGGTTCGCCCCTCGCCACTCTTTAAACAGTACTTGCGCTAAAAGCGTCTATAAAGAGGCCATAAATCGTTTATTCCCTCAACTAAATTCTATTGATCCATTGACCCTCGTGCCGCTTCCGCAGCCGCGATCTCCATTTGCCGCTTCGCATATTGTGCTTCCGTTCGGGCTTCCTCATCTGCCAATTCATCGCTGAAAAGAAAACTTACATCAGAACAGATTCAGACTATAGCACGTAATGTGAAACGAACGTACGGATCAACATCTCCCTCTCTACTAAGCTTTTCTGTACGGTATTGCTCGTAGAGGAAGTCATGAGTGATCTCCTTGAGATCCTGCAAGTGAGAACTGGTGATAGTGATCTTGGTTAGCTAAGCAGAAATATTGAAGTCTCTCAGGACATCAGCTACCTCAAGAGCATATAGCGCAGCTTTGAGAAATCGCAATGCCGCGAGTTGTCGACTGTTATAAAGAGTGACAACCTTTAGTACCCCGTCACTTGGCATTGATAGACTATTGATGGTTCACCTTCTACGACACCCCACGGGTATTGGCGGCATCTGACTCTCCGGCCGTTGAGCACCACTTCTTCCTCACTCCCAACGATAGAAAATGGCAACAATGCCTATTGACCGTCCGTCAGAATTGGGCGTTGAGATGACCGACGCAACGCAGAGTATGCCTACCCTAAGCTCATTGTTCTCCTCGATAGTTTCATCATCATCCTCTTCTTCGTCGTACGGGAAGTTGTAAATTGGAATCTTATAGTACGCAATATCCTCCATAACCTTCTTCTTAAAAGCGGCTAACTCCTGGGGCCTCATACTGTCGGCTTTGGCAATCACAGGAATCACATTGACGCGTCGGCCCAGCCTTCGCATAAATTCAATGTCAATTTCGCGCAGCCTGTTAGAAATTCATCTCCAGTAAGCTTCAAAAATCAGCACGCAATTGAACTTATTGCAAGAACACTCACGAATGACCAGTTGGGGTGATGAAGTATAGAAGAGCATGGACGCGGTTGTCTTTTTGAGAAGTTAGAAAGACACACTCGAATCACGGCAATTGCGCTGATGCTCTCACCCTGGAATTTTGGGTTACGCTTGATACGCGACTCCTCGGCTAAAATGTCATCATATTGTCTTTCGATATACGCCAGAATGTCCAGGAAGCTGTGGAATGCAAATGAGAATAACATAAAGCGGACCTTCTGATGCCAACTACGCACTTTCCCTCGTTGTTGATGTTGTCACCAAAGCCAGGTGTGTCTACAATAGTTAGCGATAGCTTGATACCTATTCGAAGGGAAGAAGTCAGCAAATTCTTCAAGAGCCACGCTTGAGATAGTAGCGACTTTCAGCTTCATTTACCATCTTCTTCCATATCTACCAGCAAAAAAGATGACATTTTAGTCTAGCCACGGAGTGCATTTGCTGTCTACATATAACTCACCTACGGTAACTGGGGTGATTGCAACTGTCCGCTCAATCGCCGCCTTCTCAGGATTGCTATAGTCTTTCTTGGGGAACACTGGCGACTCGCATAGAGTGTTCACGAAGGTGCTCTTCCCCAAACCGGATGCCCCTATTATATCATCAAGGACAATGGTTTAGCAGTGTTGCAATCTCTTAATGTTGCAATCCACACAGAGTAACTAACCAACAATCATGACCGTAAAGGTCAGACCCTTCTTGATATTTTTCCGTCGAATAGTTGTTGCCTGTATTGCGTGCGGTCAGATGAAGGGTGCAAAGGGCGCGTAGTTTAAAGGTAAAGCCAGCTTCACGCACCAGTACAGCAGTGCGCGCTATGGCTTCAACGCTGCGAGAAGTTGGCGGAGGCATGGTTTAACGATCACAGCGGCGCGTCTGAGATAAGACTAACTGGATGAGCAAAAAGGAATGTTGGCAAGCGCGCTGGCAAAGGTGACGAAAGATGTTTCGTATGAGCAAAAGCAACTTACGGGTAAAGATGCGCTTTCTAGGACGGAAATTGCCGATCACCGCTGACTTTGAAATTGTCTCGTTATGGAGTCGTTGCACGCACGGTCACAAAGCCGGCGTTTGGCCGCTCGCTGTTGGCGACGTAGTCGGTAATCAAGCCAATTTGATGGACTGGTTCTACTTTGGATTGCATTGGAATGATTGCTGCGCCATGGCAATTTGGATCCCAACTGGCAAATCTTGCCAGGCGAACTCGACGTTGGCAAGCACTTTACAACGATGGGCATCGCAGGGTAGGGTAAACTGTTTGTCACGCCTAGATTTTACTCATCGCATGCTTATGGCGGAACGTTTCTGCAGGATATTCTCGAGTTTGAGGTATAAATTATACAACTACCCAACAATCTTCTTCTCCTACGTGTTGGGTATCACAGGTCTGTAGGCGGCAAATACGACTGTGAGCTCTTGATGATGAGTATGACCGTACTTATTACTGGAATATATACCATCAGGACCTGTGTTACTCCTTACTGTGTACCCTATGCGACGTGAAATGGGCTACAAGGCACCGGTTGACGCACCAAAGAGCTATCCACGTAAGACCGCACTCTAAACAAGAATGCCAACTAGAATTATTGATAGATTGTCTCCACTTGCAGTACCACAGCACGCACGCGCTTTTCCCGCCGGTTATGATGATTGAAGTCACACTGGATTGCGCAGATGGACCAGCGGGGCGGGGGAATAAAGAATTATAAACTCAACACAATTAGAATCGAAACTTTAGTGTCTCATCACTTGGACGCCCGTGCATTTGCTACGAAAGTATTCCTCATTGGGATTTTACTATACTGAGAATGTTCGCCGCGCCCGGAGCTCCTTTTCTTCCATGAGAGTAATGACCTCTGTCAGCTCGTCATCATCAAACACGTCCCGCAACAGCCGAAAGGGTAACATATATAGATCTTGTCCGATGTTAGGCCATTGACCATCTGGCGCAGAAAAGAGGATTACAATGACATACCTTTACACCAAGGACATTCTCGGATGGCACGGAAGAAAAGCGCTTTCGCCTTGTCTCTATTGCCTTCACGGACTTCAAATTGTATGTACAATTGCCACAGCGAGACCGAATGCCTTGAGCTGTCAGTGAGTCAATTAAGGGATCATGTAAACAAGTCCGCTGCATAAGTGCCCTCTTACCTTGGACAATCTAGGGCCCTCTCAAAGAGCGATCGAACGAGGTGGACGTTATATGTCTGTCTTTGATGGAGCTCCGCCCATATGGCAAAAGTCCAGAGGATGTGCGAAGGGTTCCTAATTGCATGTCGGGGGGTTTTATCAGAAATGTCCTACTACATATCGCTCTCACAGGTCCATTACCTTGCTAATTGTTCGTCCAATAATCTTCGAACCCGATTATCGATCTTGGTCCTTGCCTCGTTCCATCCGTAAAGCGAGAGGAATATTGTATTGCAAGGAAATTTGTCGAGAGCCGTTTCCAGCACGCCTCTGAGAATCCCTGGTTTGAAAGCAGAACCAGAAACTGAATGCCGATAAAGTAATCGGACATATCCTTCATAGACGGCCTCCTCCAATACTGTTGCAGTTTCCCCCTCATGGATGTTCTGTCGAAATGTTTCCAGGACTTGTTGGTAGAGCCGCTGTGCTTCTTCCAATCCTTGACTGAGATATTCCATAAGACCATAGCAAGTCAGAATGGTCAATAGAGAGTACGCCGTAGTATCCAGGACAGCCGGATTAGCTGTCGAGATCAGGACCTCCAGGCGCTGGGAATACCCCTTGAGAACAATTGCCTTGTCAGCATCGCGCCATCAATACAGACTTGCAAAATTAGTGCACTTGCCTTTCGTGCTCGCAAGAGCGTTGTCGGGGCCAGGCTCACTTCGCCGTCCTCTCCTGTTCAACCCAATATGTCAACCAAAGCAGTGCGAAGGAAACTCATTCAGCTATTTATACCAGGTATTGCTTCCTCTGCTCCAAATGCAGCCAAGATGCGAAGCGCCCTTTCTGGCCGCCTGGCCTCAAACTCCAAGTCCGCCAGCATCCGATACAAGTGGGGAGCATCGAGCTGCTGTTGCTTCGGAAAGCTTTGATATGACATCAACGCGGTCATATAAACCTTCCGCGCCTGGAAGATGGGATTACACGTCTGGCCTTTCTAAAGGAGAGCGACACAGCACTTTTCATTTCTATACCTCGGACAAATGACCCCTTGATACTTCAATCTGAGCATACGTGTTCCATAATGACAGATTCATTCGTTCCGTTTTCAAGAGTACTTTGGCTGATTTCTGTGCACTATCCATACAGTGTATAGTTAATCACAACCAATAGAACTGGTAATCGAAAGCGGGCAATAATGACCTTTTCAGGTTAAAGCCACTTTCCAGTATCAGGAGCAAAGGCATCAGATGCGGATCTGGTGGTGAAATTGTCTGAGCCTGTTGCAAAACATTTCTAGATGCATGTCAATGACGGTACAAGCAAAGTGACGGCACCCATTGAGGATGTCGCTTAGCCATACTCACCTGATGAACTGGTGCCTCCCAACGCCTATACGTCTAACCGTATCGGCCTCTTCACTGCCCCAGACACGGAACCAGTGATCTCCACCAAATAGCGTATCCATTGTTTGCGGAAAGACGGCTAGGGGAACACGAAAGATTCCACAGTTTGACTCCGTGCTGGCAGAATCGGATGGGCTGTTTGTATCGATTTTAGGAAGAGACGTAGAAGGCCAAAATCGTGCCGACTGCACGGGATTGGCAAATTCCGCATGCAGGAATGATTCCTGGAAGAATATGTGATTGGAGGATATACCGCCATTAACAGGCACCGACAAGAATTGCAAGAAATTGTAGATTAATTGTCTTCTGGTGTTTTCCAAAGTGATGTCGAACATTAGCGAAGAGATGTCTTCGAAGAGGACGGCTCGATACGGATCATCCAGCTCTTCTAGGGTAGGTAATGTGGGTCAGCATCCTGGGACCGAAAAAAGGTGTGGGAATATTCTCCTCCACATACCGTCTTCCGTCGACCTGGAGGGCTGCCAATGAAGATATTCCTCTTGGGTTTCAGAATTAAGCCAACTTTCAAAATCATCTAAAAACTCGGGCACTCAGCAACTTGTGCAATTGAACAGGTTAATAAGAACCAGATACCTTCACCCATCTTGGTGCTCGCGGCGTCTTCTTCAGAAGGAGGTGGTGGTAACAGCTGAGCCTCTACATGGTTCTGACTATTTAGAGAGCTCATCGCGGCCATGTCTTAACCTCAATGTTTTTGCACAGACCTTTGAGCAAGCTTGCAGACCAACCTTCTGCGCCCTGCAGGTTACGACAGATCAGGTATCAGTTACGTGCACTGCAACGTGCCAAAGCGCAGTGTACCTCTTCACCAATCCTTGGCATCTCACTCTCCCAAAATGCTCCGAACATTGCCAATCGTTCCACAAACGTTTGATTAGTGAAGGCCGGAGGACAGAATCCGGTAAATTCAATCATTGCTTGGAAAAGTGCAACCGCTCTTTCCATAAAGCCTTTAATTAAGAAGAATAAGTGCCGGCCACTGATTGCTTTGGCGAAAACAAAAGCGCGTACCCGATTGGCCCAATAGAAAGCAGGCTCTTGTGAATATGTGAAGCATAATCTCCTCCCTGCGCGCTACGGCTATTGTGTACATAGTTTAGTGCGCTGGTAATCAGATGCTTTGCTTTCTTCGTGAGGCGCACCTGTTGAAGTATCCCGCATCAAAATATGAATGCAGTTCTCATATAACTCGATACAGCCTGCAACATTGAAGGTGCTGTAGTTTGTCTGCCGAAAGTCCAGATACTGTTTCCATAGCTTGATGGAGCTCGTGTTTCGTTTGAGGATGCGATCCCACTTTGTCAAAAGCTTTGTCGCTCTATAGAGGACAGCACCATTAGAGGGGTATTTCACAAGGTGACGAGCACCCGTTCTTTCTTACTCCCATGTTTCTTGACAGGTGGTCATATATCCAGATAGCAAATCTTCATTATCTGGAAACTCCTTCAATGCCTTCTCATAAATGCTTTGCTTTTTCTCGCTTATCGCAGCGCGCAGCTTGCTCTTCTCTTGCTGATCCTTCGCAAGCTCATCTTGAAGCGCAATGAAGTTCAACCAAAGCGACAGATTATGTGGTTCCTACATTATGGATGGTAAGTATTGTTCAGGAAGTAAGTGGTAAGGTGTTATACAACCTCCTGTAATCGTTTGTTGAAATCGGCGGTCTTCCGAACAAACTCTGGGTTCTCATGTGGCGTATCGATTTTACCGACGTTCTTAGATGGCTCGTCATTGACAGCACTCGGAAAGGCGATGAAAGTCGAATCATTTCCAGTATCATCTGTCGTGACCACATCAGCCAGTAATCTGATATGACAGTAAGAGATTACTTTAATATTCTGTAGAGACTGGTCGGAATAAATCAAGTGGAGTTTTACCTTTCTAGGGTGACAGGCTCTTTTCGGAGCGAACGTCGAAAGTCTTCGTATCGTATTTTCTAATCAAAATGAGGTTATCTATTGATTCCACCAAAAATACAAAACTCTCACAAAATACCCCGAATCCACGTAAACTATCATTGAACCTCTGTTTACGCAAAGTCATATACTTGCTTTTTCTGCTTGCCTTGTCGTCAATCAACCAATCAGGGCACCCCAACACATGATCTGTAAAAGATTCGACCATCTCAATCCAATGGAAGCATGGTCCATTCAGATCAAATCTAGACTTACCTCCCCATCGTTTATAAGTTGGCTCAGAGTATCGATTGGATTTTTCCAAGGCTATGTTTCCTTTATCGCCCCTCCGGTCTAAGTAGAAGTCTTTGGTTTCTACGATTCCATGGCCCTTTCGGCTTCTATAATATTATTAATAGTTAGTGAGCTGTCCATTAGCAGGATTTCACCATTGCGTCGTATAAGACATACTTGTCAAAGGTCAATTCAGCGTTCGCTCCCTGTTTTCAGAGACAAGACTAAGTAACCCTGCTGGGCTCGTAGGAGGCGCAGATTTCTTTACTAGAGGAAATTCAAAATCAAACCTACAGAACTCTTCTTATTTTTCTTCTTTTTCTTATCTTTCCTATCGCGGTCTCGGTCATTGGAAGAGTGTCGGGTGCGACTGTGACTCCGCTTCCGTTTCTTTCTAGTCTCCCGCCCGTGGTCGCGATTCTTATTTCGCTCGTCAAGCGAGTCGTCTGATTCAGAAGAGGTATAAGTACGATGCTCGTGCTGTGACGGTTCTGTGGTTCGGGATGTCCGCTCGACAGAAACGTCAGGGCCCGAAGAGAATGACGGGAACGAAGAAACCGCCATGCCCAACGAGGGAAATGAGGAGAACGCGGGCATGGTGCCAGGGGCATCTCTCAGAGTGATGCCCAAGTTCGGGGCGCTTGCAAAAGACGGAACATCATTCTGTTCAGGTTGCAGTCGGGGCGATGGGGAGGGCATTTTTATCGTTGTAGATCATGCGAAAAGTCAGATCTCTCGACAAGTACCATCAGTGCATTGATTCCATGACTGTGCATTTTGTGTGTCATCAACACTTTGCGCTATCGTTTACTGATCCCAGTGTTGAATAAAACCTCATGTCCGCCCCTCCGACAGCTCCACGGGAACATTATCTTGATATTAATATCAACGCATTCTATAAGTAGGATCTCCTGGGAACGAGGTATGTCTAGCTTTCAAGAGCTTAAATCATTTGACTTTTTATTGAGGGGCGGCTGTCTTTGGGCACAATACTTGGAAACTCTATTGAAATAAAGAAGATATATCTCAAACAGGCGTATCCAACTGTATTTGGGACATCTGATCCTAATGGTATGGACGAAGAAGGAAGGGAACAAAATGTAGGTTTCGAGATGGGGCCAAGTCCGAGTCCGCGGACGAAAGAGGGTATGGCAGCTTGATTATTTAATACATGCTGCAGGTTCTTAGATCTGTACGCTCAGCCTGCAGATTTGTCTAGAGTTTGGACAGCAATGCTTGTGCAATCTTTATGAGGATGCGATGGGCACGTCGAGTTCAACGACGCGGGGAGCAACGGAAAGATCGGCTTGCATAATCACTGTCATGTGCATCATGAGTCATGTGCGCTCTGATGGTCGCCCCTTCGCGGAGCGGGATGGAGGCCATCTTTTGAGTTTCCATCTACAAGCAATATCGACAAAACTTTATACCAAAAAAGTATATCAGCACGATGATGCGAAATATGAGGAAGGGGACGCGGCTTGCAGTCGTCACGCTGCAACACTCAAGACGCCATTTGGTAATGTTCTGCTCTTGACGGTACTACGAAACGAGGAAAGGCTCATGAGTCATCTTGTTTCCCGCATGGGTGTCGGAACTCAGACTGGACATACGGCCGCTCCTGGTGCTCGGAAGACTGCCGTTTTGTTTCCGGGCCAGGGTGCTCAGGTATGATCTCAACGGCTCATTGGTCGACATTTGCATACTAATTTCTTCCCTTTCGTTCATGTGTCAGCATGTAGGTACTTGTCACCCAACGGACTAATGTCTACCTGCGCGACTTTTTTTCAACTTTAGTTACTTATTCTGCACGTGTGTATGATAGGAATGGGTGCAGACATCTATGAAAACTTCAAGGCGGCGAGAGACGTCATAGATGCATCTGATGAAGCGGTTGGAGGAGGATTGAAGAAGCTCATGTTCGAAGGACCCCAAGTACGGCCAAGCTGACGTGCATCATAAAATTTGCATGGATTGATTTAGTCTCATTCATTTTTCTCTACAACTCGTTAGCAAACATTAACATCTACAGAAAATGCACAGCCAGGTATGCATTTTGAAGGCGTCGCAAAGCTTGAACGATTATAATTCATTTTTATCCGCCAAAAATAGCAATTCTGTGTCATTCAATAGCTCTTCTAAAAGTTTTGGAGGTACGGAAAGCTTTCCTGCCCGCGACTATCAATGAGAGTGCGGATGCTGATGCTTTCTGTCTTACAGACAGAGTTTGGCTTTGACATAAATTCATGCACCTACGCGTTGGGACACAGTCTTGGTGAATAGTGAGTATCGCTGGTCCATCTACGTTCAGGTAAATTGTGAATCTGTTCATGCGCTGATGCATATACTATTTGAAAGTTCTGCCCTGGTGGCGACACAGTCACTTTCGTAAGTTGTGTGTATACGCGCATTTATGCGCAATATGAGAGCAACTGTATTGATTTCGGTTTCATCAGGTTGTCGGACGCAATAAAGCTTGTGGTGAGTGTGTACACTCATGTACGTCAGTCCGTGGGCATATGCCTAATCGGGGTCTGGATTATCTTCTATGCAGCGCCTACGCGGCGAAGCAATGCACAGAAGTGTAGACAGTGGGAAGACAACTATGAAAGCCTTAATTATAAATGGAGATCATCTGGAGGATATCGAGGCGCTGATGTCAAAAATTGAGCGATCCTTACCGGAGGGCGAGGTGGCCCAGATTGCGAATATAAATAGGTGCGTTTAGAAACTCTCTTGATAGTTGCGGATTTTATTCTGACGCAATGGCTGTTTCCGGTAGTCGGTCACAGGTAGGATTTTACTGGAATCTAGATCACTCTTGTGCAAGTTGGTTCGATCCTCATCGTATGATCCCCGCAAGGTTGTCTTGAGCGGAACCAGCAAAGGCGTCGATTATGCTTGTTCAATAATTCAAACAAAGGGTTACGCTGGTCGCGCCCTGGGTTTGCCAGTGTCTGCACCGTTTCACTGCGATTTAATGCAGCCTGCAGCCGATGAGATGAAGCCTGCCTTGGATGGAGCATCTTTCAATGACCCCACGATAGAGGTGATCTCTAACGTCACTGGTATGCCGGTATGTCGTACGGCCATCGGATTTCGTATCGACAATCGCTGAACTCATGCGAACCGCATTTGTAGCTCGGGAACGCCACCGAAATTCAGAGTCTCCTTCATCAACAAATTACAAAAACCGTTCAATGGCAACGAAGTATCCGCTACGCAAAAGATGACGACGTGCATGACTGGGTGGTTATTGGTCCTTCCCGGGTCTTGGCCAATTTGCTAAGAAAAGAATTCCCTACGGATGCCATAAGGTTTGCAGAACGCGTGTTTCCTGATGTGTGTTTTCATTGCTAACGGTCATCCTTAGGGCTGTGGCAACCGCAGAGGACGTTCAACAACATGGACCCCATCTATGCAGGAGAAAGAGATAAATTGCCAAATATACTGATAAGCATATTAGAAACCACATCCATACTGTGCTTGCACAGAATTGGCCGGTCGACGTCACCCTTTTATCACATGGTGGAATCACCAAAAAGAATGGTAGATATTTCAGACAGCGTATCTAATTCATGCGGCTTTGTGGGCTGTGTGACTGCTGGATCACCCTCTGGGGTTTCACATTCGGCCAGGATTAGGTATCCGCAGCGTTGCGTCTCCCAGGATTCATTACTTCATCAGCCACGTCCAATACAAATTGAAACTATAGTGACCTTCATGTTACGACCAAATGGATTGGGATGCAATCATTTGTTTTCGTTGCCAGCCCTGAACAATCATCGTCATGAAGGATCGGAAAGAGGCACTGCTTGGGTTCCTTCTGGTGGTAGTGAGCGATTTGGTGAACATCTGCCCACTACGAATTTTTCAGACTCTTTCCTCTAAAGTTGAACCGAGCATCTGTCATTATAGCCCTTGTTTGTTATCAGCGTGTTAGTCAGGAGGCTTATAGATGACAGCGTGAAGGATAGTGGCTTTGGCGAACAGACAGCTGAGCATGCGAACGTTCCGCACACCATTACATTACCTTGTCCGCGTGCATTCTCCGGCAACTGTTATCTCCCGCATCTGGCTTATGACGTTTGTATACAATGGAGCTAGTCGTCCATATGCTCTTTAAGGTCCAATATTCCATCCAATTGATTATATTAGACCAGCAAATATGAAAATCATTACAGCTATCACATTAGCCTGCACATCCTGATCACAGAAGATACACCTACGCTGGCGCTGTTCGGTTGAGATTTTAGATGACGGATGGCAGTTAAAAGAAAGGATAGCGTGTTGCGTTTCTTATATGTAGTATACAGTGCCATATACCAACCCAATGAAAGTTCCCTATGGGCGAAGTGGAGGTGGATAACCCATCACTGCGATTCTCATTAAACACCCTTTGACCACTATTGAATGAGTACTGGATCCATAGTATCTTATGCCATTATTATAGTTCCTTGAAACATTGGACAATGCCGTACTTTATGGCCGTATTTGCCTGTCCCAGAGGGACAAGATATACTGCACATAGTGACGTTATCTTCGTTGGGTTGTCATGAATGAGACAAGACAACAGGAAATGCCAAGTGAATGTCCCCGAGATGAGAGCCCAATAGCCCTAAAGCAGCGATTCACAAGTTCATTCTTACAGTTAGAAACACTCGTCGCTGTAAGATACAGTGCCTGCCTGGATTGTCCCGATGCTAGCACCAAGAAAACACCCTCCGCACGATGTGGCTATGCAATTTCATTTACCAGTACACGTGATTGTTTGGAGGAGTATTTGAAGAAAACGGAGAGCTCTTCTTTTTGCACTTTAACAACTTTACATCCACCTTCCAATCTACATGACATGGCTGTTGCATTTCCATACAGTTGTGTTTGCGGAAGTGGTGGGTAAGAGTATCATGCATCGCAACAAGGGGCCAGTCGTATACAGTTCAGTAGGTTGTCTCTTTCAACTAGGTGCGATATTTATCAGTGTGTCTGGCTGCTTTTCTTTCAAGTTTGTCAGAATACTAGGAACATGAGGACATAATCTACCTCTGCAATTCAAAAGGTTAATGCAACAAGGACGAGTGCCCTGCAAACAATGTGTACTTCTGTTTCCGTGTCTGATAGCATAAAAAAAAGTATCGCTTACACACATTTCAGCCCAAGAGAGGATATATTCCTCTGGTAGCTTTTAGCTACGTCTTCCCAAATAACTAATCTACACGACGGCACAAAGCCCCTCAACCAAAGATGAAATGCTCCCGAATATAATGTCCAAAAAAAAGGTGCCCCAACCTAAGCATCCATATAGGCACACCCAAGATCGTAAGGATGCCTCCGCCAAAAAGATGAAACTGTTCAAGATTGTAAGCCCAACACCAACGCAACAGACAAGCCGACATGCCCTTCCTCAAGCTTTTGGCGGGACCGCAAGTGGCCCATCGACACTATGGTTCGACATGATTTGGGCCAGGTACGGATGCGTAAGGATGGCCTCGACAGTTGGTCTCATAGCAGGATCAGGATCGAGCATACTTCGAATCAAATCTACAAGAGCCGGCGATACGTCTTCTCCAAAGTTAATCTCTGACAGATCCCCTTGTCGTAATTTATGCCAGTATGGGCCGTTCTCAGGCAAAATGACATTGGCGGTGATCTCCAAAATGATTAGACCAAGACTAATATAATGTCAGTAATGAACGATCATTACTGAACTTGATAAAACAACCGCTCTGTACCTGAAGACATCTGCAGGTTTGCCAAACATAGCGTCTCGAAGAATCTCGGGTGCTATGTAGGTTCGGTCTCCTTCTCGGTCATCGCCTCGAGGCTACGAGAATCTGTAAGTTAGACTGCCTCGAAAGTCACACCGACTCTGCATGACCCACCACTGGAGATCTTGATGCGAGACCAAAGTCGCCAATTTTCAGAGACCCATTGGCTGTAATGAATATATTGCCTGGTTTGATATCGAGGTGGACAAGATTCAACTCATGTATGTGCTTCAAGCCCTAATGTCAGAAAAATAATACTCAGCACTGTTGATATGATTTTGAAAGAGACTGGCATAGTTACCAGAGCAATATCAGATAATATGCGCCAAGTCCGATATTCATCAAGTGATGAGTCCCGGCAGTGATCCTCCAGGTAGGCATGTAGGCTTTCATAGCAACGGTACTCTGGTGAGATTTTTGTATCAAATCGCAACAAGGCGAACCAAGCCTTACCTGCCACCTTCACAGAGCTCTGTCTGCAAATAGAGATAGCCGTATTGTACCCAAGCATTGACAAGACTGACACAGTGCGGGTTATATCCAATAGCCCAGAGTATCTCAACTTCCTCCAACTTGGCAAGCCTACGTAATCTGTCATCAGCATTCGCTCTTTCGTGAATTATCATGGACGCTGCCTGGCTTACCCGTCCTTGTATCCAGTAAACGATTGCCTCGTCTTCTTCACAGCATAGATATTTCCATCAGCCTTGCTTTGCACCTTGTATGCATCAGCGAATGATCCGCGTCCTAGTCTTGCAAGGATACGGAAATTCGCATCAAGGTAGTCTGGATGAACACCATTGACCTCCGATTTATTTGGGGACGGTGCTACAAGATATGCTCTATGAGATCTTGCCAGTAAGCCACATGATCTGCAGGGAGAAACTCACGATTTCCGGCCCGTTCACGCAGTCGTTGAAAGTACTCTGCTGTCAGAAAAACAGGGTATGGCGTGACCAAATGGCTGTACGCTTTGAGCACAGAATGTCGTGATATATTAAGTCCGGCTGGCGACGGTGGCAGTGCGGTCGTTGGTGTATGGACATCGTCGTCGCAGTCCATCATATCGCTGCCTTTTTGACCTGCAACGTTAAAGATGCCTCGCCCTATTGACATGCTATCATCGGTCGAGAAGATATTCTCAAGAGACATTGAAGACTTCAAAGGTGTATGGTTTTCATTGTTGTGGAAGGACTGCTCGTGGTTAAAATGAGCTGCAAACAGCGACGACGCCTGGGTTGCTGGGGAGGAGAGGCTGCGGACCCTGGATCGCTCAGTGCTAGGACTATGCGTGGGGTCTAGGTTTCGGGCAAACGATGATTGTGCTGTACATATAGCCATTCTACTGGGGCTATCTTTGGTCCCTAAATCGCCCCCCATATCCCAAAAGGACCTAGAGGCTGTTGGCGAGCCAAAATCATCTCCATTCAGATGTGGCTTTTTGGCATTCTTTATGGGGGACTCCTGCAGCGGGCTGCGATAGTGTTTCGCCTTGATAGAGCTAGGAGGGAATCGCGTAGGGGTGGGAGGCAACCCAGAGGTTGGCGTTCCAGGAACAGGTGCTGTTGTGGCCGGAGGGGCCGTGGCCGGTGCAGAACTCTTGAAAACATTGCTTCCGCCTGCGCTTCTGTACTGCGGATAGTGAGATCCCTTTTTCAAGGGAGTCTCAGGCATCGGTTTAGAAATGGAAGGGCGTGGCCGGTTCTTTTTCGACAAGAGACCAGTCGAGTGGAAAGCGGCTGGATTTGGCTTCACGAGCTTTGTTTGGGGAGTAAAGAAAGCTGTTGCACTTCGGTCCTGGGACATATCGGGTTCGGATTGCGCCGAAGCTGTCCGCTTGTGAATAAAGTGAGTTGTGTAATTAGAACCAAACCGGTGGTCATTTGCTGAAGGCGTGTCGGGCACGGTAGAGCTTTGATGCCACGCAAAAGGATCTGTGGTGGTTTTTGGCGGCATAGGTGAGGGTACGGCAAAGTTTTGCAGCTGATGAGAAGGCGCTAAAGTGGTTATAGAATTAGCACATGTTAACCACATGAGACAGCAGGGTGGAGGTTTTACCGAGTGATGCTATTGCGGCAGATGGTAGCGTGAATGAAGACCAAGTGGAATGTTGTTGATGATCAGGTTGCTCCGTAATCGGGTCTGTTTCCATTGCTTCCGAAACGGATGCTGGGTCCAGGCTTTGGCTAAAGTTTGCAAATGTACTACGGATAGGTCGAGGAAGGGACGATGGCTTATTAGGAGGGTCTTGAAGGTCTCTGCATCGTCGGGGACGTGCCGGAGTGGCAAAGGAACCTGTTCTCTTTAGCGATGTAGAAGGTAGACCATCTCTTTGCGCAGCCACGAATGGGGAGGATTGTAGGGCACTGTCTGTAGCCATAAAATTCCCTGCAAAAGCACCCACGACGGCTGGATTAGAGGGAAAAGATGACAAATCTTTTCGGGAAGACGGAGAGTGGGCTACCGACGCCGCCATATTCGTGCCCGGTTCTCCGTCCCCTTTGGCGGCACTTTGAAGTCTTCCTAGCGTGGCTGACGGATTTGGGGACAGCAGTCTTTTGGGGAAACATATCAAGAGGAACGTTAAAACCATATTCTGAAATTACCACAAACGCGCACCAATGCGTACCCCGGTTGAACTGGACGATGCGAACGCGAACAAGCGGTAACGGTGGACTACACGATAATGGTATAGAGCCAGATGAACAGATGGTGGAGAGCGGTTGACTGGCGGTGGCGTCGAAGACGGTAAGGACAGAAGAAGCCAGACAGATAAAGCGAAGTGTGCGAAGGGACTAGAAGCAAATCCCAAAGATAATAGGAGATGAATCAGTACGACGAGAAAGCAATGAACTCGAATAGATCGGCAGATGATGCTAATGTAGAAAGCGCAGGGACGACATACGAGAGACAGGTCCGATGTTCTGCGACAGGTAACGAAAGGACAGGGCGGTGGTAGGAACAGGGCTTTTATCAAGCACACGAATGGTATCGGGATTCGAAGTTATAGCGATGCTTTGGGTAAGCAGCCGAGCCGTGGTACCTCTTAGATCTAGAACGCCAGCAAGACGTTTACGATCACAGACTGGATGGCACACCGTACACGTCGCCTACACAGAAAGTGGTCAATCCTGTGTATGGATAACAATGACGAGACGGTGAGATGGGCAGAGCAGGCGGCGGATGGGAATGGGATGAAAGTGATTTAGTAAACCGAATGGCTGCGAACGGAAGGGAGGACGGGCAGCAAAAGCGACGCGCAGGGGGGGAAGGACACACGCGGCTTTGCATTATCACGTGCTATACATTGATTGGTGTATTTGTGTGACTGTGCCACTGAGCAAACGACGACGAGATTTTAGAATTGCTTTGGAGGAATGGAGAGATTTCAGGAGATTGGAATATGTAGCAAATGATGTGTGAAAGGATGGTAGGATGTATTGTGTGTTTATGCAAATGTTTAAGAGATATCGTCATGTCATCTTACGACGTCTAAAGCATCTTATGCACGCGAGATATGTCGACCCATCGTTGGCCGTCGTTGCTCGTCGTTGCTCGTCGTCATTCGTCGTTTGTTCATCGGACATACTCGTAATGCAATATTCCATTGCCCGTTGGCCAGTTGCCAAAAGAAAAAAAAAAAAAGTCCGTTCCCCAAAAATTGGGAGTTGCAGCTGGGGGTTTACTATAAACTGCTATATGGAAATTGCAGTTTATGGTAGCAGATCAATCTTTTGGTCCGCTTTTGACCCATTTTTCTTTTGTTCGTCCTTGTTCTTGTTCTTGCATCCTGCTTGCATTTGGCCTTGTTGCTTGTCTAGCTGCTGCTCGTTTGGCCAAAGAACAAAACGTTCTGGGTTGCGGATAAAAAAAAAGTAAGTCGTTGAAAAGCAAGCGATCGGAGAGTGTCCGACGAACGGGACGCGTTTGGCTTATCTTTGGGGCACTGTTTGTCCACCATCCGCAGGACGTTTGGTCTACTTTTCGCACGGCGATCGGGTTCTTTCTGGCCTCCTGCTCCAGCTGATAACGCAAGAGTTGACCTGCGTGTTCCGCTAGCTTGTGCTAGTGCTCTCGCTTTTCACTCTGGAACATTTTCTACTGGTATACTTTAACATGGATGACAGCACTGGAACTTTAACAGTTTTTTCTGACGTGGAATTTCACTGGTAGCCAGACCATGTTGACCGCAGTTCTACGACAACATCTGACGCGAGGCGCGCGTAACGCCGTGCGTCGACAATACGCTAGCGTTGAGCTTTCTTCCCAAACACTGTGCTCGTCACTGTCATCCACTCGCCACGCCTCAATCTCTTTCTCACCTTCCTTGGGCAAAGCAATCATTGGCAAACATGCCGGCTTCGCGACCATTACGAATGCGAGCACGCCCGTGTTCGAGCCTCTCGACACGTTCCCACGTCGACACATTGGTCCTGACGAAAGTGATATTCAAAAGATGTGCGATAGTGTCGGAGTCAGTTCGCTGGATGAACTGGTCCAGAAAACGGTACCTGCATCAATCAGCATTCAGAACCAGACAAAGCTCGGTCCTGGTGTGCCAGAAACAGAAGTACTCGAAAGATTAAAGCACATTGCCTCGAAAAACAAAGTATTCCGGTCATATATTGGAATGGGATACACAAATACATTAACCCCAAAAGTCATTCTACGCAACATCATGGAGAATCCCGGATGGTACACTCAGTACACGCCGTATCAACCCGAAATTTCGCAAGGCCGTCTCGAGTCACTCTTGAACTTTCAAACCATGGTCTGTGATTTTACAGGCCTTCCTGTGGCCAACGCTTCCCTCCTTGACGAAGGCACTGCTGCCGGTGAAGCGATGATGATGTGCTTTGCTGCTGGCAAGCGCCGCAAGACAATCTTTTTTGTGGATCAGGCATGTCATCCCCAGACTATTGCTTGTGTGAAGACAAGGGCCGAAGGTTTTGGTATTCAAGTAGTAGTGGGAGATTACGAAAAGTATGATTTTGCCGCCAACAAGGGCAAGGTCATGGGAGTTCTCATCCAGGTAGGATCCCGCCTCCTGCTTCACTTGCCATGTGTATAGTTTCTCACCGGGCTATTGACCTCGTCAGTACCCCACGACGGATGGACGGGTCTTGGACTACGAATCGTTCGTGAAGAAGGCACATGACAATGGTGCAATGGTTACCTGCGCAACCGATCTCTTGGCGCTTGCATTACTCAAGCCACCGGGTGAATTCGGCGCAGATATTGCGTTTGGTAATTCTCAAAGATTTGGAGTGCCGTTGGGATATGGTGGCCCACATGCGGCCTTCTTCGCCGTAAAGGAAGAACTCAAACGCAACATGCCAGGCCGGCTTATCGGTGTCTCAAAGGATGTCAATGGCAACCCAGCTTACCGTCTGGCATTGCAGACTCGTGAGCAGCACATTCGACGTGAGAAGGCGACAAGTAACATTTGCACTGCTCAGGCTCTTTTGGCCAATATGGCCGCCATGTATGCTGTCTATCACGGTCCTGAAGGTATCAAGCAGATCGCTCAGCGTATCCATAACTTGACCGCTGTGTTCGCTGAAGGGGTCAAGAAGCTGGGCCACACTGTCAAGACGGACAACTTTTTTGACACTGTTACAGTTGAACTGAAATACGATGCTGAGGAATTGGTGCTCGCGGCTGCGGAGGCCGGTATTAATGTTCGCCAGGTCGATGCTCGTAGCATTGCGGTTACCTTGGATGAGAGTGTCTCTAAAGAGGATCTTTATGACCTATTGAGAGTATTTGCGACGGCATCCTTTGAAGAGAGCTACCGAGCGGGGTCTCGAAAGCAGTACTTTGTCCCAATGCCAATTCTTGATAGCATTGCTCAAGAGCTCGGCATCACCACGGCCACTCCCGCACAAAACTTTCCAGCGAATCTCACCCGCACGTCCGCCTACCTCACTCACCCCGTGTTTAACTCGTACCATTCTGAAACCGAAATGCTCCGGTATATTTCCCACTTGCAAAGCAAGGATCTGTCTTTGGCAGAAGCCATGATCCCTCTTGGCTCTTGCACCATGAAGTTGAATGCCACGACCGAGATGATCCCTGTTACATGGCCCGAGTTTGCAAACATCCACCCCTTTGTTCCGCTCGATCAAGCAAGTGGATACAGAATCATGCTTCAAGAATTGGAGTATGCTTTGAGTGAAGTGACTGGATTTGATCAGATCTCTCTGCAGCCAAACAGTGGTGCACAAGGGGAATATACCGGTCTTCGTGTCATCAAGGCATACCTTCAATCGCAAGGACAGCAGAATCGCGATGTTTGCTTGATCCCTGTATCCGCACACGGAACCAACCCAGCCTCGGCTGCCATGGCTGGCTTCCAAGTCGTGACTGTAAAGTGTGAAGAAAACGGAAACTTGGATCTGGTTGATCTTCGTGCCAAGGCTGAAAAGCACAAGGACCGCTTGGCAGCGACCATGATTACCTATCCTTCGACTTACGGTGTGTTTGAGGAAACTATCAAGGAAGCTTGCCGCATTGTACACGAGTTTGGTGGACAGGTCTACATGGATGGAGCAAATCTTAATGCACAGCTCGGACTATGCAAGCCCGCAGAGATTGGTGCTGACGTGTGCCATTTGAACCTCCACAAAACGTTCTGTATTCCCCACGGCGGTGGCGGACCTGGTATGGGTCCCATTGGAGTCAAATCCCACCTTGCACCATTCCTTCCAGGGCACCCCGTCGTCAAGACGAGCGGAGAGTTGGCCATTGGGCCAGTGTCTGCCGCACCTTGGGGGTCCGCTAGCATCCTGCCAATCTCGTGGGCATACCTAAAGATGATGGGTAAGTTTCAAAGACCATGATTTTATCCTTTCTAGGGTATTCACATGGTATACTGTGGTAGGCGACGAGGGTGTCAAGCAGGCCACAAAAGTTGCATTGCTGAATGCCAACTACATGCTCAAGCGGCTAGAGAAACACTACAAGGTTCTCTACACAAACGACAATGGTCTCTGCGCCCACGAGTTCATCATCGATTGCAGACCTTTTGATGGTTCAGCTCACATTCAAGCCATCGACATTGCAAAGCGTTTGCACGTAGGTGGAATTGCTGATAGTAGAAAAAGAGGTCCTGTGCTCAAACCGCATTCTTTTTGATACAGGATTACGGATTCCACAGCCCCACCATGTCATTTCCTGTGGCCAACACTCTCATGATTGAACCCACCGAGTCCGAGTCTAAAGCAGAACTCGACCGTTTCTGTGATGCCATGATCCAGATCCGCCAGGAAATCCGCGCCGTTGAGGAAGGGCGTCAACCTCGCGACAACAATGTATTGACCAATGCACCACATCCTGTCGAGCATTTGTTGACCGAAAAATGGGACCGTCCTTATTCTCGCGAAGAAGCTGCATATCCCATGCCTGGGTTGCGCAAGAAAAAGTTTTGGCCTAGTGTCGGACGGGTGGATGACACACACGGAGACAGAAATTTGGTAAGTCTGGATGGATCTCTATTAATTTTGGGCTCAAAAACTGTTTCTAACATTGGCTGCTTGCGATAGATCTGTTCATGTCCACCCATTGAGGCTTATGAACAATCAGCTGAAGCTGGAATCTAAACTGTTATTTATTACCTGACATGTTATTGTGTGTGTTTTTCAAACGCTTTTTTTTAGAATAGTGATGATATTTACAAGGGGTTATCTTTGTGGTCTAAAAGATGGGGAGTGCAGGAACTAGTTGCTATCCTAAACCTACACATTCGCATTTTGGCTAGTCACGAGGGTATACTTAACAAACGAGGAAAAGCTCCCAACAAGACACGGTTATCAACGCTCGTCCTCCAGCCAGTCGGTGATTTTTTCCATTTCCTTTTCCTGCGCCCTTACCACCATCTTTTTATCATGTTCATCCTTGCGGTGCTTTAACGCGCCCGCTGTGGCAGATACTGCATGAGTGGCCACGTCTTCGGCCAAGGACAGAATTTCTGCTGCAGAGCCCAGCGACGCTGGGTCGTGTTCGTGATGGTGGTGCGGAGTTTGGGGCGTGTGGACGGGATGCGACGATGCCATGGTCAGAAAGTGCTTGTCGTTGTGTGTGTTCTGAATGCTGTTTAACCAGATTGCCTGATGCGTGAATGCTTTACAATTTCCTTCATTGTAAAATCCAATAACACATTATATAATGCACACCCAAAATGGGAAATGGCCACGCTATCCATTGCTAATGTGACTGTGCCGCGCTGTACGATCCTAAATGGGAAACAGGGCGCCATCCCTTATGCTGGTGCAGTTTGGGGGGGGGGAGGGCTAAAAGCGGTCCGTGTGAGTGTTGGTGCTTCCTTGTCGGCGATCTCTTGATGCCCAATTTATTTTGAACGCACATTGGGGAATTCCATTTTTGCTCGTAACGATTTTGTTTAAAGCGTCTTGTTAATTGTCCGCCGTTGTTTCTTGTCATCTGGTTCTCTTTCTCTCGGCACGCGTTCGTCCCCCCCGTTATCTTAAACCTTTTTGCAAACCCATCCTCTGTCAAGAAAGAAAACTCACAATCATGACCTCGGCAGCAAACGCAGAAATGACAACACCTCTAAGGAAGTTTAAGTTGGTCTTCCTGGGAGAACAGAGTGGTGCGTGTGTTTTCTATTATGAAAAAGTTTAACAGCTAGTGGTTTGCTGATCTCGCATTGGGTTCATAGTGGGGAAAACGTCGCTTATTACGCGATTTATGTACGATACTTTTGACAATACGTATCAGGTGAGGTTTAAAGATTCTCTTGCAACTGGGTTAGTGACGTTTAGTTGACAATGCCCTTTTGGCGGGAAACGGCAGGCGACAATTGGTATCGACTTTTTGTCAAAGACCATGTACATGGAAGACCGAACTGTCCGTCTTCAGCTGTGGGATACGGCTGGGCAAGAGCGATTCCGTAGTTTAATCCCAAGTTATATTCGAGACTCGTCTGTGGCTGTCGTTGTATATGATATTACAAGTGAGTTAGCCAGTGATGTGTGACAAGAGCCGCTATTTTTAACAAGAGTCTTGATACGTGTTTCCTTCTTGATTTCCTAGACCGCAACTCGTTCATGAACACAACCAAGTGGGTGGACGATGTACGAGCGGAACGGGGTAACGATGTTATAATCGTGCTGGTTGGAAACAAGACAGATTTGAGCGACAAGAGGTGAGAATGCATTTTTGTCCGAGAACAAATGGCAGCCGAGTGTGGTGGTTTACTGACGATTTTTGCATTTACAGACAAGTATCCACAGAAGAGGGAGAAAAAAAGGCAAAAGAGTTCAATGTGATGTACATTGAGACGAGTGCAAAGGCGGGGTATAATGTGAAGGCATTGTTTAGAAAGATTGCAAACGCACTACCCGGAATGGAGCAAAATGCCGCTGATCAAAACAATTCTCAAAGTACGTTGTTATCAAGTAGATTCGTGTGTTGCGTTAGATTGGTGGCTGATGATTTGCCATGTGGTTTTTCTTTTGTGTGTTTTCTGCAGTGATTGATGTGAAACTGAACCCTGCTGCGCAAAAACCCGTGGAAGGATCAAGCTGTGCTTGTTAAAAAGAAACTTATGACCTCATGTGTAGGACAGTATAATGGCAATACGATACATATCTGAAATCTTTTTTTAAGATGTTTGATTGGGCACACTTATAGATCCAGAGTGCGTAATGTACCCTGATGGAGTAAATAATGATTGGTATAACTATCGTATTAAAAAGTAAGACAGAAAAGCAGGAAAGAAGGAAAGCGAGACGTTTATTTCAAAACGTAGGTTTTTGGGGGGCTTTTTTTGCCTTTTCAAAAGATAAATATGCCGTGCACATTTCGAACAAAAAACGGCCACATTTCTATTAGCCACGGGTCCACCTCCAGCATGCAACAAGATCACCTACAAGAATGGGTGACAATTGAGATTTACAAAAACAACCAAAACGTAATTGAAGATATTATTTCTACATGTAAACTCTACTAGTTTATGATAGAGACTCGTCTGACATTTATCATATTATTGGTAACAAGCAAAACGCAACTAATAAATCTACAGGTTTTGGGGTATGCAACTAGCGCAAACAAACGAAACCAAAAAAAAAAAAAAATGCACCGATACTGGGGAGTGCAATCACATACAAAGTGAAATGTGGGAGAAAACAAGAGCTATATACAAAGAGTTCAGATCGGTCCTATTAGACTGACACACCGCTATCAATAGACTTTAATGTCCCACTTTTGAATGCAGTCATCTTGCTAGTATCACCATCAGACGCACGTCGCTCTGTAGGTGAGGGTGTGGGTGGGCCTTCCAAGAGAGGTTCACTGGGGCTGGACAAGGTAGGTCGAACAATTTGGAAGCGGCTGATCGAGCTGACGGAACGCGTGTGCGTCGGCCGGCGAGCAGTGAAATGGTCGCTTCGTTCTCGTGTGAGGGTGAAGCGTCCCTTGTTGGTGACTTCGACAACGCGGTGGGAGGATGTTGAGGTGGGAGGTACCACCGGAATACACACGCTGGCGGATCTCGATGCAATAATGTTTTCGGATGTGGGTGGTGGTATGAATACACTAACAGACCGTGATCGTTGAAGGTAAAGCGGTGACTCGTAAGAGGACGAGATGGTTAGCGGGGAACTAGTGGCAATGGAGGGGTAACAAGATTCCACGGGTCCAGACCGGGAATCACTGCATGAGGTAGGTGGTTGAAAGAGAGACATGTC